AAGTTCAACAATGTAAGTCGCCGGTAAAATAAAGCACAGTCTTGTAATTAAGTTATTGTTGTATCACCGATTGTATTCATTTCTAAATGGCAATCTATCAATCAGGGCTTTCATTGGAATATCAGAGGATTTTGTTAGTGTGGTGAGTTCCAGCTGTGTATGTCAATAATGCATAACTGTCTGTGCATCCCCAGGAAACAAACCAGGTAATACAGAGACGAATGAAAACATCATCAGGGACAAACAAAGTCAAAACTATCAAGCAAGATTGTAATCAAACAGTATTCTTGTTGGTGAGGAGTCTTGCTGTGTTAGCTGCTTGTTGATATGCTCAGGAGTGTTTTATACACAGGACTTAATGGCAATGCTGAGACAGAACCGCTTTTTTCCTCATTGTGGATGAAAACAGAACTAATATTACCACATTTTATATCTCTTCAACATTTCTGAGATGACCTTCTGCTAATTCCCTAAAACGTAATGAAGGGGCAAACCTCAGACAAAATTATCTTTGCTTTCAAAATATCTGGATGTTCTTTTGTTTAGCATCTGGTACAAATGTACACATTGCTATGGAACAGATTGCAAAAGCTTTTCATAAGCCTACATGTGTGCCATGCTACAACTAGTACCAATTATGTGACTGGTATAAGTGTCACAGTTACCAGAAGTAAAGATACAGACAGCCTTATAGAGCAAATTAGCTTGAATTTAGCAGCCACTTCTCTTTGTAGTGAAATTATATTGGACTTTTCCTACAACCTGTTAGCTCAAATATTAACTATGCTTAAATACTTTTTTTAAAGCTATTTGGTAGCAATACATGCAGTTAGTCACAATACAAATCTCATGTTTATTGGAAAAAATATAAAAAACATATAGTTCAAGTCCTCTGTTGTTTTTTTATTGTAATATGTCACCAAAAGCAATTTAAAACGTTTAAACTGAATTAGTTGAACTGCAGTGAGTTTCTAAAGCATGCCACATTACTTAATAAATGTGTTAAAATGGAACAAAAACACAGACCAAACAGAAATATTAGCAAAGTCTCACCAGTTTGAAAGCAGCTTAGAGTGCAGTTAAATCCATGAGTTAAGTGTAGAAACCTGTAACTATGTATGGCTGTGTGTCAATAATGCAAATTAAAACACGTTTGAAGTTTAGACATGCAGGTCTGGCGCTCGTCTGCTGCTTGCATTGCTTGCCATTGATGTTTTGCAGTTGGAGGAAGGTGGTCTGGAGTTGGGTCTGGATCCTGAGCTGGAGTCATCCAGTGACTCTGGGGTGGACGGCCGGCTTTGATGTCTGCCATCTGATTTTGTCTGTGTTCGAGTGGCGGGAGGTCCACTGCTGCCTTTTGCGCCCCCGTATGAGTCTGTGTCAGAGCTTTTACCCTCCAACACTGTGGAGCATTTGAGAGAGCTGTTAGCCCTCCACAGCCTCCTCGTCGCACTAACCGGCAGCGTGGGGTAGGAGGAAGTGTGAGCTGCCTTCTGTGGGCCTTTTGGAGAGTCTGGGCTCCCTCTTTCACTGCTGTCATCCTCCTTACTGTGTGTGGGAGGATGCAAAAAGTCCTCAGTCTCCTGCTTCGGATTAATCAGGGACTTGCAGCACGGAGAGCAGGGCTCGTTGGTAGTCGCGGGGCAGTTGCAGTCCGGGGGGCTTTGAGCTGAACATCTGGAATCATCCAGATCCTGCTGAGTGGCCAGTTCGCCCTGAAGAGGTAGAAAGGTTGAAGGTTTGATAAGGTTCGGGTACATAATTGTGCCCTGCGCCCTCTCCATCAAGAGGTTGTAATCACTGGGTGCAGAGGCAATCGTTGCCTTTCGGGTTGCACCGGCGCACATTTGTACAACAGATTCTTTCTTATACTTGTTGGCATAGTAGTCGTCAAGTTCGTCTCTCTCTTCTCTCAAGTGAGGGTAGAAGTCCAAGATGCCCTTTTTAATCTTCTTGTAACCCAGATGCATGATCTCCAGGATGTTTAGGAAGAGGGAAATTGCAGCAATGCATTGCATGAACACCATAAAGACACTTTTCTCTGTTGGTCTGGAAACATAACAGTCTACTGCGTTTGGACAAGGATCCCGCTCACACTTGAAGAGCGGATACAGGTGGAAGCCGTAAAGGAGGTACTGGCCTGTCATGAAGAGCACTTCAACGACAGAGCGAGTGAAAATGTGAGCCACATAGGTGCGCAGCAGTGAGCCCCTCAGAGGAGCTTTGTTAAGCTTCCCCTGATCAAGCTGCTTCATTTCACGCTCAATCCTCTTTCTGGCTTCTGCCAACTCCACATCGACCAACTCCAGTTCCTTCCGCAGCAGAGCCTTCTTCTTCTGCCGTGTCTTCTCCAGCGCCCGCAGCCTGTAGAGAGCGTGGCCCATGTAAACCAGCGAGGGAGAAGACACAAAAATAACCTGCAGCACCCAGTAGCGAATGAGGGAGATGGGGAAAGCAAGGTCGTAGCACACGTTTCTGCACCCGGGCTGCTCAGTGTTGCATATGAAGTCAACCTGCTCGTCATTCCACACATCTTCAGCCGCCACCCCAAGGACCAGCATACGGAAGATGAACAGGATGGTGAGCCAGATCTTGCCTACCATAGTGGAATGGATATGCACCTCCTCCAAAATCCCCCCAAGGAAGTTCCAGTCACCCATCTTCACTCTGCCATTTTGACTGGAGGGAAATAATTAAGGAAGAAACCATTTGAAACCTCTTAAAACTGGTATCTTTAAAGATAATAGTACAATGAACATGCAATAACAAGACATTCAGTAAATGCATATTGACAATAATAACAGCTTATCAGATTAAATGAACACGATATACAAAATTGTAGTAAACAACCAAAGAGTGCAGAAAAATTGTGAAAAAGAATCCTCCTTTAGATTTCCCAGTAACAACAGAAGTATCAAAAAATGACAGTACCTCTCAGTTGGAAAAATTAAACATTAACAAGTAGAAAAGTAGAAGTAGAGGGAGAGGACTTGTTCATCCACTGATATGTTAGCTTGACTGCTCAGCTATCCAGTTTTTGTCTTAATAAAACCATTCCCCTCAGCAGTGCCATTATATAAACCAGGTCAGAGCTCGGCGCATTTGCCATTTCCATTTACCTTGCAGCAGCATGGACAGACTGCCGGTGGTGACTTAAATCTCCTCGGGTCATGCAGCCCTGACACAGTCACCAAAAAAGTTTTTAAAAATCGTTAGTGCCCTCCACATGGGTCCCTGCACAACCCCCTAAACTTCAGTGACCCGCCTCGGCTTCGGTGTTACCAGAAACAAAGAGGGAACAACTGAGCCGCAACGGGAAGTTTGCCAACACTACTCTGACCACACAAAGTCAATACCAACAGCTTCAGTGATGCATTTAGATCATGGCCTCACAGTGATGGGGTTGTAACCAGTTCCAACACATTGACCTCAGTGGTTGCAGGTCGGGTCTTTTTTTATCTTTCACTTTCTTAGGATCCTTCAGACTGCTTTTACCTTTCCAAAATGGAAATGCGGCTTGCATTCAACAGCAGAGATGATAACTCGCTGAACGTTTATTTTATTTTTTTTCCCTTATGATTCATTTGGGTGTGTGCATTAGGTGCGGGTGTAAATAGCCAAGCTGTTTCCAAATATAGGCTTTGCCAAGTCCAGACTACAAGCTTAGTATTTGTTAGCACACAATTGTTGGAGTCTATTTGCTCCATATGTACAGTGAGGGAAACAGTCACTGTGGTTGGAATCCCCACATTATCGATACCAGTCAGTTATCCACACAGGCCTTATAGGATCAATAGTTGGCTCCTATAGTGAAGCAGTCAATGAGTCGTCATGTCCGATTTCATACTCTGCTGCTCCTCTCTGGGTGTAATTAAGTTCTCATGTACTTTACACATTATTTTATCCCCTTTACAAGAAATCTATCACAGTGGATTAGTGTGCTTGCCAACTTCACAGTCCAATTTTAAAAAACCTTTAAATGCCTCTGTGTTATAAATACACTTCTAACTTTTATCTGAGGCCAGTCATATTACAACTTCACACCCATGATATGAAATGTTTAGTAATTGTTATATTGTTCTTTAGCTTTACAGAACAAGATAAACTATCGTCAAGAATCTGAATATTTTTTATTAGTAGAGAAAAGCAAACTGCTCCCCAAAGATTCAACCCACCAGCTCAGTGCAAGATTATTTCCACCCGTCTGTCAATTTAATCCTAAACTGAACTTTTCCACTCTGACCTGAAATCTGTCATTCTGCACAGCAGAGAAGGATTGATTGAAACCAGTCTAGTACAAACACATTAGGGGTATGGAGGGTCACACTGGGGCAACATATTGGGAAAATCACAGTGCTGTTTCCCCCTTTTTTCCCCATCCAATCACTGTAATCAATTTTCATTTGTACTTCCGCCCTGGGACGTCCTCTGGCTTATTGCCTATCAACACAATTCATTGTTTCAAAAATAATAAAATTTTGGTAGAACTTTGTGCCTGAAATCTTTTATTTCAACACAGCATGTGAGTTGGACTGTTAATGGCAATTAATTATTACAATTTTAGGCAGTCATAAAAGATTCTGGACAAATATATTCCACTCAGTGTTTTGCTTTTCGTTACTTGACTTGGATGTTTGACCTTCACTGTGTAGAGGTTGGTATTAAAAGGCTGAAGGGAAAGTTTCTTACCTGGAATCTGAGTTTAACACATGTACCCACAAGCGTGATTTTGTGACACCACAACTAGTTTTGCATACAGTATATAATTGTGTCAGTACTCATTTTCATCCATATAAAATAAAGATTTTTTAGAATAGAACACTTGAACACAACTGATTAAGAAAAAGAAGTAAGGATAGAATAAATGCATACATACAAAATAAAAGAGAGAAAAATCTAAATCTAAGGAGCATAACTCAGATAAGATGGGAAACATATTTGTATAGTCATAGATTCAATATTTTTCAATGAAGGAAATAAAAAATAAATGCTGATAAGAATTTGAAATTAGATTATTGAATTTATTTTGTGGCAAAACCATATCAAATTATTTTTATGTCACGTTGGCACAAATCCAGTATTGCTGGTCTAAAAGAATACAATTATATTTTGTACAATTGTTCATTTTGCTTTATGAACTGCAACTTTTAATGAAGTGCAAGACCCCAAGCTGGTGCTGTATCTGTTTGTTTTTTTTTAGGACCTTTGGACATAACTAAACCAAATGAAGAAACCTACAGTGTTATTGTCAGTATTTTACAGCATGTTCCCCATTAACTCTTTAATATGATCATATGAATAATACATTATATAAATAAACACTACAGCAATAGCAGCAGATGTTTAATTCAATACACAAAAAGTGAAACCTTGCAGATGTTGAGGTTTCAGCAGTACCGTCTAATAACATCAGATGTTTTGACGGCTGTACTACATAAGGCAACATACCATTTCCCAATGTTTTACAGTCAAGGCAAACAAGCTCATGATAATTGAATATTGATGCCCTCAGTTATATTGATGAGCCAAGTTTAGAAACCATGGAACTTTCCATACTGTAAAATAACAAAAGGAACAGTCGCTTTCATGGAGTCCCCATCAAACAGCGGACTGCTGCACACAGTTTTATCTGTTATTGAAAATGAATTGGACAACCATTGGAAATGTACTCTTAACTCTGTATATATTCACCAGACAAAATCATTACTCTCATCCTGCTTCTGCAGAAGTTCAGATTTAAACAAAAAACATGAATTTCATAAAAAAAAAAACATCAAATTTTATTTAAAATACTTTAAACACTGATCTGTGAAAATGCAATAAAAACAAGTATATACAGTCTCTGTTTGGTCTTTGGTCATAGCTTACCTCTAATCTTAGATAAATTAAGTATTATTATATTATTTTCTACAATAAGATCTGTTTATGAATTACAGCCAAACAAACAGTGATATTACAGAGGTTTCATTTATAGACTTATTGAATAGAAAATGTACTGTTACTAAACCATAACCTACATCTAACATTCAAACTTTCCCTTCAGTATTCAGTAGGGGTATTGTATGATATCAACCACTATTTATTTTTACTAACAAATTAAAGTAGACTGTGTTTCCAAAAGATGGATGTTTGCAAAGTTTTGTTTTTCCAAGATTAATAAAACAATAAGTAGATTGAATCAACAGTTTTACAACATGTAATCAGTCACGTCCTATCAACAGGATGTGACTGAAACAATAATGGGGCATTAAGCCAAGGCCTGATGGTAAACCAGCTCTGTTGCTTACACAAGGAAGGGAAAACACCAACATTTTGGACATTCATCCCTTTTTTTCCTGAGAAGAGAAAACTCTGTAAGGGATTTCGCCGCCATTTTAAGGCACATTTCATGAATACTGAAAGTCCCTTTGAGTCCATAATAGCATAAAAATATTCAATCAAACAGTCAGCGCATTATTTTCTGTTGACAATGACATAAAATAGGACCAGTGTCTTCATTGATTTCCTGATACTCATGAAAAGTACAAAAAGATATAAAAACCTTATAAAACAAAACAGTCAAACACAGAATCATATCTGGGATAAGAGACATATAAGTTACAGTCAGTGTAAAGAAAATTAGTTTGATTCAGTTCAGTAAATTATTAATGGTTTTCCTCAACATTGTCTAAAAGTGAAAATGTGCCTTTTGCAATGCTACACATAAACAGCAGGAGGCGCGCTTCCACTTCAACTCACAAATTCAGCCCTAAATAGAAGAAGTAAAATAAAAACCTACATTCACAATGTTCCCAAAACTAAAAATTTGCTCTGAAACACATCAGTAAAAGTACAGCTTCCTGAGTGACATTAAGGCTTCTGGTGTTGACTTTTAAAAAGGTTGGTGAGTGCAGCTTTATTCCCTATGATACTGGGGTGAGGAAGATGTTGAAGAGCACAGCAAACAGCACAAACACTATATAGGCCACTATACACAACCAGAAACGTGGGTCTTTGAGTAGCTTCTTGTTGTAAGCGCTGAAGAAGACGTAACCGACGGTCATCCCGGCCGCAATTCCTCCAAAATGAGCCACAAAGGACACCTTTAGAGGAGAGAAGGTGAAGTCAGGTTTGGGGCTTAGCCTGTAGGCCTAATTACACATGTAAAACTGAGCACAGACCCTCAACTACTGTCATCCGACCTCACTGAAATGCTTTGAACAACAGCCAAAAAACTTGCAGGTCCAGTTTAACAGCCAAAAGAAGGGGGATAACATGGCGGGGGAGGGGATAAGGAGGTTTTTTAGAGTGTGTAGTAATCAGTTGGAAAGACAAACAAGCTTTGGTGAACGGAGGAAGATAATGTACGCTTTCAGTTTTATTTTTACTTGAAATTGAAACTACTGAGTCAAAGTACAAGGGCCGTAGCTCAAAAAAAAGATATAGCTCAATGTGGATTACTGATTCAAAAAAAGAAGCGGGTTGTATGGAAAGTGTATTGGTTTTCTTTGTCCATAAGTATGTGCCCTTACATGCAGGTATGTATGCGCATGAATAATCAAGTCCCAGCAAGAGCTGCTGATCTTGTCTGTAGTCACAAGCAAATTAAATCCATCACCAAACACTGTCCGCTTGGGGGAAGGTTAGCTGGATTAGCAGGATCCCTCCTTAGTCCCTTTATTTATCTGAAAAGGTTTAGCAAGACTAGCTTTGTTTGTTATTTTAAGTCATCTACTGTACAGGGGGAAGGAAAATCATACGTTCAAACCAGCCTCGTTGATGACAAATCTTCTGTAGAAGGCAAATCCAAAATCTGTGCCAACTGGAGAAAGAAATTAGTGTTAAATGTTAATATTTTAAAAGTATTAGCAGACAGAAAAATAACAAAATAGGTTCAAAAAACACACACATACCAAATATCACTATGGCGAGGATACGAAACACTCCAAGGAGAGGAATCATCTCTCGGAAATTCTGTGAATTGAAACAGCAACTGTAAAGAACAATCAACTAATACTTTAAAGTACAAGTGCAAGAAAATAATGAAATGGTACTCTCCTTGTGGTGCTGAAACTGCCAAAAAAGCGTTTTTCTTTCTAGGTATCATGGACAAGAGGCTCACGCTCGTGACAGCGCAGGTTGTAAACATTAATGACATCCACCTGAACAGCAAGGTTAAGTAGCTCACCTAGCACCACTAAGACAGCTAATGTTCAGCAGCTACGGTTGGTCGGTGTTGTTCGGTAGAAAGAAAATAGTTCCTACATGAAACTTCTCACAATAAGGTCTGTGGAGTTTATATAAGAGTAATTATTGCTGAGTTTCAAATCTTTTTTTTTTTTTTTTTTTGGCGCTTTGAACACCACAAGCCGAGTGCCTTCTGGTTCCATTATATTGGAGAGACGGCAGACATCTGTGTGGCTGATATCTCCAAAACTGACACCAAAACAAGATGGATAAATAGCACTACGGCTTTTGATTTTGAGGTGTACTGTTTACCTTTAAAATGTATGTAAACTTACCACCACTGCGTTCATAAAATAGCCTCCTATTAGGGCATAAACACCCCCAGAAGCTCCCACCAAGGCACTGAGAGGATCAAAGATGGAGCTGCACAAAGAGCCTGAGGGGAAACAGAAATGATCAGTTTTGCTATTAGTGGCAGCCCAGACGAGTTAACGTTAGATGCATGTAGAGTTTTGACAGGTGCTTTTGTAATGACAGAGCCTGTAACTGTGCCACATTAACTGTTTCTGGGGATGCTCACCTGCCAGGACGCCTGCCATGTAAACCATTCCCACCTCGAATCCTTTGTGGACCAGCTCCAGCGGGATGCCCAGCAGTAGCTGCACCACCAGGTTGCCCACAATGTGCTGCACACTAGGAAGGCAGAGGTGGGGAATGAGCAAAATAACAGAAACACCTTTAACCCTGCAGTAAATACCAGGTGTTGAATCAATTTGATGGGTAATATGAAAACAATGCAGGGACTTTTAAAGGGTAAGACCTGTGTTTTTCTATCATATGTATTATAAACAAATGCCATGATAAGACGACAACTACCAATAAATCAACACTTACCTACCCTTTCTGTGGCATGTAGCCCCAAATAGATATTTTTGTTAATAATAATGTTTGTTGTTGTTGTTGTTAAGGACTATTTTCAGCTACGAATTAAAACACATGGTGCACTAGTGAGTCCTGGCAGCAGGACGGTGTTTATGGCACTGACTCAAGATAAACTACAGTGAACGTGTTCATTGTAATAAAGGAACAAGGTGCAGCTAATTTGTGTTTTTAATAGTTTTTGGATATCTGGCTGCTCAGAACAATCAATTAATTGTTAGTTTTTGGTCTTTTTATGGGATTTATTGACAGACAGTAAGGAAAATACAGAATCACCAGCCTTATCCTTTAAGCAAATATCCTGTTGGGTGTCTTTCAGTTAGTGTTGGCGAGTGACTGTGACCACTGTTCCTCTTTACTAATCTAGTTTTCCTATGTGCTTCTGCGTAGTCATGATTTTTGGGACAGTTTGCTTGCCACACCATGTGACTTTGCAGTGTTTTGACAGATGTGCCAGCTATTCAAGCAACTCTTCCCAAGCAAAGAGTACCCAGCTTCATATGACTCACCTTTGTAACTGTGACTGCGGTGCATCCGTTAAAAAAACAGTAACACGGCAAAGGGGGAAGTTTCAAAATCATGACGACATATGCCAAACAAAGGAATGCTGTAATAAGCAAACCAGTGCAGCCTCGAAAATAACCACAGAACTGAATCAACAACTCTGACAGCCTCAAAAAAAACACAGAAGATTATGAGCTTCTGTAGGAATTGGTCCACTGACTCAAGCTTCCATCATGCAATTAAGGCATCTCAAAAAGCTCTGTCAATGCTTACCCGGCATGGACAAACATGTAGGAGATAAAGCGCCATGCTTCCTGCCTGCGCTCAGGCTTGTATGTGAGAGGACTGTTCCAGATGCCTTCATCCAGGGTCACCCACTGCTTCTGAGGCTTCCACACAGCGTAGTAGATAAACACTGCCAACTGATGAAGAGAAATTACACATAAAAGTTAGTTAAGAGGTTTAAAAATGTCAAATAATTTCCATCCACAAAACTGCCTGCCTTTAAGTTAGGAGCCGCAGGGATGGGGGTAGATAGATAGATATTCCTTTATTTGTCCCACAGTGGGGAAATTCTAAACTAAACAAGGAACAGCTGAGAAAATAAAGAATGGACGAATGATTTAGAAATACAGATGTGGAAGTATGCTTAACCAACCCCAGAAAATCCCCCAGTGTGATCGTGCGTTGCAGCTCAGATGTCTGAATGCCTGTATCTGTGGGAATATAAAGCAAGGCCACGCTGAGTAAGAACACTACGGCTCAGTCGATCTTCTCTGGGTAAATAAAGTGTCTCCTCTCGCCAATAACAAAGTATTGACAGACATTCAAATGCAGTGACGTTGGACATCTGTGAGCTACAAAGAGTGAGCTGTTCAACCCAGAGTATGAATAGGCAGTGTGCAAAACACTCAGTGATAAGAGAGTAAAGCAGCAGCCTTCAACTGGGTCTGACAGCAACATGGGGTCAACTGGCAAACTGACAGCAATTATGTACAGATTTAAAATTTTTACAATGTTTTAAGCCTAAATGTATCTAAAAATATAATATATATAATATAATATATTTGACATTTATAAGCATTTAATACATGGTTTCTAACACAATGTAATCTAGTTGTAAGCAGCTATAAGGTCCTTTGTGACTTTACAATAACGTTATTTATTCTCTGTTTATATACCATAGGGATGATTTACTGTTGTAGACAAATACATAAATAACGGTAATACTTAATATTAAAGGCACACATAATCTCCATCAACTAGTTGCTTATTAGCGTGCATAGTAGTGGCATACTGGTGCTTTATTTCATTATAAAGCACTTATTAATGCCTTATTCTGCATGACCATATTCTATATATACTACTAGGCCATTAACTAAGAGTTTTCCCTCAATGACCCCCTAATTACTGTGTATTAATAGTAAATAAGGAAGATGTTGTACATGAATTATGATATTTGCTCAGTATGTGCCTCATAAGGTAGTAGTATCTCAAGAAAATCCATTCTCCTGTAATAACGCTTACAAAAATACAAAGGTCTAATGGCAGCGAACAATCTGTAACTGGCCAACCATGTCCAACACAAAGAAGGCACATTAAAAATGCAGTTATCAACAGAAACTGACCATCTGCCAACAAGTATCTGTGTATTCTGGACTGAAACCAAGCTTCCTACAGTTTGTTTAACATACAGGCAATCGCACATTCCTGGTGGCATTAAGTTAAAGTCATAATAAAGGGCGTAATAAATAACATAGCCATGGTTTTAGGGGATCCCCCTACTTGCTTTTTCAACAAATTGCCCAGTTTCTCCAGACATTCCTCCAGATGTATTCACCTGAATCTAAAAGTCAAAGACCCGGTGGCTTTCTGTTTACACATTCAGGAAATGCATCTCTGAATCCCAGCTGTAAGGATCAACTGTACCCCGCTCTAACCAAAAGCTACTGCTCATGAAAACTACTGCTTTCATTGAAACTGTGCCTACTGCCTGCTAGCGAGGACTGCACTTAATGAATCAGGACATTCAGAGGAGGCGGTGCAGATGCCAAAAGAGACAGAAAAACAGAAACTAACGCTCACGGCTGCACAAGAGCTTCACAGTTTAAAAGCGTGCACTCATTTTCAAATACGGAAGCTATAAACAGACAAATTAGACCATTATTTCCCTTTAAGCCATGGTATAACTTTAATATCTGCTCTACTAAATACAGCTAATCTATAAAGTAATTAACAATGCGGCAGGATATTAGCTAAATGTAGGCTGCGTGTATTAATTAGATCCAATACTGATCATTGTGTGCTCATACAACATGTGTGTGCTGTGTACATTCAGGGCAGAGCTACCTCTGCCATACTGATGAGGATGATGAAGATGGGAGGTGGGCAGCAGTTGGCCCGTTCAAGGTACTTGCTGCGGTCGTGCTCTGGAAGCATCCATGTGGAGACAGACTGCTGGAACTTCTCACAACATCCCATCTTCCTGTCACCATCAGGCTGGTCCTCTTCGCCCCTGAACCGCCTCCCATCTCGGTCCACAGGAAACGGCTCCTGCTGCTCGAGGTCGATGTCATCCATCACTGCTTCGGTCCTACACAGCAGATTACATATTAATAATAGTAATAGTAATAGCTCTGGTGTATTTGGTCATTGTGGACATTGTTGCATGTTGTGGAAATATTGGATTTTAATAGGATTTTTGCATTAATGTAATAAAATACTTTGATTTTCATCCCTGTTTGGTTATTTTATCCATTAACAGTTGCATCATAGAGAGAGGTATTTCCAATATTTTGTCAACCCATTACTATCAATATTATAAACTTCCCTCTCAGTGTGATACAACACAGTTGAACAGAACAAGAATGTCTGCCCTACAAAGAGACAGAACTGGCAACTAGGATGAAAACTAACAATTATTTTCATTATCAATTCATCCTTAAGTCTATAAAATATCAGAAAATAGTGATAAATGTCAGTTATAATACCCAAAGGTTCACCTAAATGTCTAGTTTTGTCCGACCAACAGTCTAAAACTCAAAGATATTCCGTTTACTATCATGTATGACAAAGAAGCTCATCAAATTCTCACAGCAAACAGCTAAAGTGTAAACATTATTATTCATTCAGTTATAAAAAATAGTTGCGGGTTTTCTGTTGATCCAACAATTGTTCAAATACAGCCACACATCCACCTGTATTTTTAGAAACGTGCATAATTGTTTACAATTGTCAGAGCCTGCAGTACTACAGTGCTCTAGTGATTTAACTTTACCCTTGGAAATTATACTTAATATCACCTATATATCTAAAAATGTACTGATTTAAAACCAACTAGCTGACAAGGAATGACTCCTAACATTGAATTTGCACTCTTAAATAGAAGTGTTTAAGTCTAAATACCCTCTTTTAGTGAGCTCTTGCCAACAAAAAATGCACAAAAAGTAGAAGTTTTATACAAAACTACATTATACATGAATAGTATTACTTCCACTTTTAAGACTTTAGCTGAGATCTGACTGTTTTAATGTTTCCCTCACTGGATATAACCTGACAGAGAACACAGTTACAGTACAATGAAGGAGCCTCTTACAGTCTGAAGTTGCACTGAGATACAGTCGCCTGTTAATTAGGGTTTCCTGTTTACTGGGCGTTGCTGATGACAAATACCCTGATTTTCACTGACCCCTAGAATATTCAAATAAACTCTAGCTTGGTCTCCTCTCCATTGTAAAGTTACCTAATATCTGTTTCAGAGTTTAATGAATTCAGCCTTTGGCCTACTCACCTAAACCTTCAACAGGAAGAGTGCAGATGGCTCCCAGCGGTCCCGAAAGCATAAATATTGACCCGACTAATTCAAACAGTTCAGTGTCCGCGCAAGAAGAGTGCACAAGCTCACACACTTTACTAGACTACAACATGAAATACTGTACAAATAACGCTTTCAGCATCATTCTTCCATATTTCCAGACAACCCCGGAGGAGTCCCGTCTTCAACCCGACCGTCTCTGCGAAGTCGGAAGAAACAAAAAAAAAACAAAAAAAGAGAGCACTTAGAGATAATTATAGCCCTTTCATTGCTTTTTCCTGCGAGAAACTTCCTTCCTACGCCCCAAACAAATCACTCACGTCCCCCCTTTCTTCCACACAACTGTGGCAGTTCTACAGAAGAGCAGGAGAATAACGACGTCCGCAGCCCGCCGCACGAGAGCAACCTACCTGTTAGCCCGTGCCACACCTGGGACGAGTGACGTCACCGAGACAGTAGAGCCTATCAAAGGCTTCAGCTTCACACACACACATACACAAACAGAGCCCGGGGAAAAAACCCGCAATTAAAGCGACCATCTTGGATCCACGGTGTCATGTATTCAGAACGATTATAGCCTACAGTGTTTAATTCGGTAAAGTGCACCGAGGATAAAGTCCCACTTTAATGTGGGTGTTGCGTTACCTCACTTATACCACCAGGAGGCACCAGAGTCCACAAGTAGCAACAATGGGATGACTTTAAGTGTTTAGGAGGATGAAATACTGTGCATTTATTTGCAATATTCATCATAGATCATGCGTTTATCATTACACAGAATGGTTTAATCAAAATCATATTGCACTAATAAATTAGAAGATAGTTCTCTCACATGGCCCATAATATGTAGGCTAATTTATACTCACTATTAATTAATTTACTTTTCTTAGAATTATAAAATGTTAAAGAATTACAAAAAAAGTGCCACTGCAGTCTTCCAAAAGACAAAAAGGGGATTACTTCAAATATGTTTAATCAAAATTTCCAAAACCCCCAAAATATTAAAATTATGACTGAAAACAAGGAGAAATGGTGTTAATACTCCACACTGGAGAAGCAAGGTTTTGTGTTTTTGCCTGAATTCAAATAATTTAAACATGATCAAAATAGTATTTTCCAAATAATTTATTGCAACTTTTAAGCCAACAAAGTCCTTTAGGGGATCAGGGTTATTTAACCATCTTAAAATTTAAATATCTGTAATCTGAAATTGTGCCTATCACAACTGGACAAACTTAATGTGCTGATCATGTGATTCAAAGGCTCCAGAGCCACCACTTACACACTGACCTTGTAGTGAGATTTGTAAACGACCCACATTGCTAAAAATGCAAGAACAAACATCACAGACAGATTTTAATCACAGAACTTTTATTTTTTTCAAAAGGGAGAAAAATCCACATTCTCAGGTAAAGAGTTGTGAGGGGGAGAGGGGAGGGGAGGGGAGGAGGGAGGGCAAGAAAAGTGGGACAATGTGAGAAGCAGGAGCCTTTAAATACAGCTGCTGGAAGGTTATACAGGATGATCACATGAGCCAATAAGCTTTCTACAGCGCCGGCAAGAGATTTGACACAGATCTGCTTAAGTCAGGATTTCCAGAAAGTGTATATCAACAAGAAAAAGGGCAAAAAGAAAAAGAAAAAAAAAAGAAGAGTGGGTTTCATACATAGTTTGTCTTTTAGATTCTTCTAACTTTTGGCCAGCAGCAATAGTTTCGAAGTAAGAAATCAACTTTTCGATTAAAAAGAAGATAAACCATGGCACCCAAACAGTTTTGAGATTGGAGGGGGGAGGGAGGGGGGTTGGTAAATAAAATCCAAATCAAGTGGAAAGGGGAAGTAGAAGAGCAGCCATCTTGTGAGAGGAAGCTGGGAATCTCATCGATGTGAGTTCAGGAGACATCTGAAACACATATTCATTCACACTGTTAGAGGATCTGCCTTTTTAACTCTTAAAATATATATGATTAAACAAGAAATGTACACTTTGACACAGAATGTTTGTCTTTCTAAAAGAAAATGGTGGTTTGAGATACTTACAACTAGCAGGCCGGGCTCCGTATCTTCGCATGATCTGGTCTTGTGTGAATTTCACAAAAGATTCATATTGTTCTGGAGAGAGAGAAAGAGATGGTGGTGAGGGTGAGTGCTGTAGATTAGGACCAAGACTACGTCCACACTGTGTCACCTACTTTTTAAAACAGTTTTCATGTGGCATTGACGTGCATCCATGATACAGGACTTTTCGGGGATATTTCAGCCCACAAAGACATTCCTGCTAAATGTGTTCTTTGTCCTCTTTTCATTTGGCAAAATGCAAAAACAGTGCATTACAGTCAACATCTGGTGAGGCTGCTGGGTCTTACATATTAAAACTTTGTTCTCCTGCTCTCTGATCACTTAAGGCTGATTTATAGTTGTACTTTGGCTCTACGTCAACACTGTAACCTACGCCAAATATGAGCATTTATACTTGTGCAACGGTGTGTCTGTGTTGCTCTGTAAAAAAAAAAAAAAAACACTCCCAAAACACCATTTGGTGGTGGAGTTTCTGTGCCACTGTGTTAAGTTTCGACTGACACAGAAACTCTTTCGTATCTCTCCTCAATCTGTATTGTGTTTTCCTTGCTTCTTTTTCTTCCCCCCCATGCTGCCTGTGAAACGGAAGGATGAGGAAATACGTCAACAGACAATAGCATGTCATGCAGCGAGGCAGCGCCCCATGTGTGCCTGAGTGAACACGTGTGTTTGTGTTTGAAGAGGGCTTCTCAAACAGCATTAAGTTATCTAGGTTTTGCACCAGTTGCTTCCCATTGTCTCACACACACACACACGCACGCACGCACGCACACACACACGTGTTGTGGTCTGCGACGTCAGGTTACATTTCTAGGGAGGCATAAATTTGACACTGAAGTGTAAGATCAGGCTTTACACTGTGTTTAAATACGGCCAAACTCTAAATCTACAGTTTTCTGTTTCACAGTGAACACTCCCAAGCTGCTGTGCTGATCAAACCTGTATTTTACGACTGGGACGTCTGACAAAATCAACATAAATACAGCTTAATGACTGCAGCTGTACAGCGTGATTGGCTATATTGACATTCACAATAAGTCATCACAGAAAAAGAAAAAATTAAAGCCGATTTTATCATTTAGACTCTTGTAAACAAAAATGCCAGGTTAGTGGGTATTGTGGGCGAAAACAAAAAGAAAAGTACTAGACGAGAATACACTTTTGCCTCATCTTCTAAAAAAAATTGTATAATCTTTATGGCACTTGTTTCCTGTCCATTTACAGTCTTGGCATCCAGAAGCATATATAAATGCTGAGGGAAGAATGGATGCCAGCACTGCAGAAGTTATCAGTTATGGTATGAAAACATACACGTAAGGGAGAGAACAGGATGTTTCTCATTACACAGAGACAATTTCACTGTACTTCACTGCCAAAATGTTAAAAAAAAAAAAAAATCTGCTGTCCAGATGAATTGTGAGCACTGATATTAAAGCCCTGGGGTTTAGTGATGTATTTATATTCAAAGAGTCGTGTTTATTACCTGCGAGTTTTGTGTTAAGGATTTGTTCGTACTCCTCCCGGATCTTCTCCTCGTGGTCTTTAAGAAGTCGCTCGCACAGGAAGCTCACCTGCTTCAGCGTAAACGAGGGCTGATCCTTCCTTGAGGCACCTGAGCAACACAAAATCAGATCAGCTATGAAAAAAAAAGGCTGAGTCACTCACATCTGTGGTTGCAGTGATAAGTCACAGAGACAGAAATGTCCTCTCTCCAAAAATAGGTGCTCGTCCAGGTGCAAACTTACAGCTTTGCTTTTTTGCCGTCCCTCACCTCTGTGATCTTACATGGTCATGCAGCACTAATGTGGGCCATTTCTCTGAGTCTCCCCCAATGTCCCTGTCTCGGTGCAACTGGAGCCAGCTTTAGCTAGGTGTCTCTTTACCCAGTGGTCTTCGAGGTCCGCTATGAGTCATTTAGACTAAAATGTTTGTAAATCACCAACGAGGATGGCAGGGCATGAAGGTTTAATGGCCGTCTCAGAGACACAGAGAGGCCGGGTCAGTAACAGTGCAGTCAGTGTGATCTATGAGACCATCCTGCAGAGTGAGAGGGGGGAAAAACACTGGAGCCTGAAGGCCTGGGGCTTGGATTACATCTCGCACCCTAACTTCCAATTGTGCCTAACACATCAAACTGCACCACTATTGCTGCAGCACAAGTATGTTTCTAAGGAGGAGCAGAAGCAATAAAGGTCCCAATGATGAACAGTAATGTATGCACACATGTAAAACAAAAGATGAACTAAAACAAACAGTAAATCCACCACAATCTATGCACATTTCAGGTGCCAGCGCAGTAAGTAAACAATGATGTTTTTCCAGTATAAAACTATAAAGATATGCCTGTATGGACTGCCATTTTGAAAAGGAAAAGAAACTCTTGCTCTCTAACGATGAATCTGTGTCAACCACCAAGAATTCACATGAAATGTGGATTTATTATCTGGTTTACAGAGAAAAGACTATCATCCCTTTATTTTTAAGTTCTTTCACTTTTAAGTGATTCCACTTTTTGCACTCCATGCGAGTTTGGTTCGTTATCCCTTTAGATACGATGAAGCATTTAAACACCGTTTATTATGAGTTCCCTCTGAAACACATGTATTACATGTATCAGAAAATGATTTTCAGGAATTTCAAGAGGGTACAACTGAACTCGGATGAGAAAGGCATCTCCATTACAGAAGTGGGTTGGATTTGGCACAAACAACTACAAATCTTTCACACACTCACATCTGGAATCACAATCCCTCTGCCCATGTGATTGTTTTGATGAGCAGCAGTAGCCTGCCTCTTGAGACTTGTGTTGGTCATGCAGGTCCAGCCAAGGGTCTTTTGGCAGGCCTTGCAGAATGAATGACCTTATCATTCGTAACTGATGTTGGCGTGACTGCACAGACCTAAACATGGCTTACAAAAGATGTGATTCTGTTTTTGATGTCTGAGTTGGCTGTCACTTCAATGTTGTAGGACTTGCTAACCAGAACAAAACAAAGCAGACATGTTATTTGATCACCTGTATAGCAAAAGTACAATACCGTCCTACGGCTCTCAGAATAACCCAAACTGATCTAAACACGTCTAAATGCACTGAATAGAGAGAGGGGCAGTCAGACCTAAACAAATCAACCGCTGCCCTTATAGAACATGTTTTAACATGTGGTTCGATTGGGGGAAATCATGTTATACCCACATTAGAGCTGTGCATGACCAGAAGACATGGCCTTTGGAGTAAAAGCCATAAACAGTTTATTGTGTGTGCACGGCAAACAGTCAATTCTCCTACCTGGTGGGGAGCTGGGAGCGTTGAGGGAGGAACTGGGGCTGGGGGCATCACTGGAGCTACAGGCCTCGGTCTGGTTGAAGGCCCCTTCCAGCTGCCGCCGCCTCTGGATCCGGCTGTACTCCTGACGGAGGTTCTGGAAGATCTGCTCTGTAGGGAGAAAACAGAAACAAGGACAAAAACTGTGAAATCCAGGACAGAGAACACCCAAAAATGGCGATTCTCACACAGTGACGGGATGTGAAGATGCAACTCTGACGATGGTTGCATTCTACAGGACACATTTTTTAACCGTTTGGCCTGTGAGGGGCGTTCCCAAATGCATCCTCGACTTTCTTTCAATAACCTGAATTCTAATGACATCCAAGCAACATTTTTAAGACACTGCTGAAAAGTACAATGACAATAAAGAGCTATCTGGCAACAGTGTTCAGAACCTTTGCTTGTTATACTACAAAACCTTAAACTGGTTACAGAAAAAAAAAATTACAGGTTTTCAAAAGTATAATGGAAATCTATTCTCCCAGAATATTGCTGTATATTCAATGACTTGAACAGTGATTCATTATAGGAATGAAACAACCAGTTTATCATTACATTAGTCTTTGAAGTGTGTTCTTTCAGTACTACATACATAAAATATTGAATGTATTCCAGCATGAACAGGTACTATTACAGGATGGTGTAATCATCCAGTGTTCTTAAGAAACCACAGCTATGCTCTGTTCCATTTCCCACCGGACATGGGTTCCCAAAAATACATTAATCGACAGGAAGTAGAGGTGTGAAAGAAAGACTGACATTAGTCTACCAGCCATTTCATATTTGAACAGCATTTGCCTGGCACTACAGCTGTGCCGAACACACTCACAGCTGACTTAAGACACACTTTCTGATCCTGTGACTATCACTTTCACTTCTCTTCGAAAGTTTTAATGACGTCTAAACACGCTGAAGTTAAGGCTGTAACATAAAATCAGTTTTCTTTTACTAGGCTGTAACAAAATAAACCCTCTCATTCTTCTGAGAGCCTGTTAACTGGGTGAACAGATGTTTGGGGTTTTCGTGGATGTACAGTGTAAACTGACCCGTGACATACTATACTATACTATACTATATAAAATAGGCCATTACTTCTCTCACTATATGCTTAACCTGATTAACCGTGCCTCTGGCCTAACCGACAGGTGTTAAGTACAGCTAGTTGCCAGCTACGTATTGTATAGGTACTGCCTGGATAAAATCCTGCCAATTCATATGATAATCACCCATTCCCGTTTTCCTGAAAGGCCAAAAAGTATATGTGCTTAAGAAGATTATCTGCAGTTACATGAAGGGTGTACAAAAAACGTTGTTAATCTTTCTAATCTTGTTAATCTAACAGTTTTTGGTAGGTCATTGTTCATCCGGGGACGTAACTGAGAACGCTTTCTTCTTTTGTAAATAAGGGCAGAAATCAAACCAGAAATTGGCACCAACACACGCATGTAAAATGCAACAATTACACAACACTGTTAACCAATATCAGGTCACAGTATAGTGGGGGCAGTGAATGAGGTTCTCAGAAGATTTGGCTCTGTGCAACACAACAACAATCACCTGTTTTGGTGTCATATTGCCTGTGATAACACATTAAAATTCCAATTTCACTGTAAGTGTACAGTTGGCTCAACACTGACTTCTTATCAACCGTCCTTGATAGATGGAAAAACTGCTAGTTGTAACCCCACATTTTAAACTTAATTTTTAAATAAACATTTAAAATCACAAGTATGGACCTAAAAAGTCAAAACAGGTGCTGTAAATACACATGCATAAAACTAGTCCTGCAAAGTGGTTGTCGCCTTATCACTTCAAATGTTTCCTCCTTAGGATCAACCCTACGCTTCCCTGCTCTCCAGTGTCAAAACAGCTTAAACACAGTGAGCACACGCACATATCCAATTATAAGGTTAAAGTTCAAAAAAGGAGAAAAAAAACAAAGAGAAAAACACCATGGCCTCAACCAGAGTGGATAACCAAGTGTTGAGGAGGGACTTTATCTTGCTCGACTCATTCAGGTCTCTACACGTGTTGCACTTCTATCAGGGGAACCGTGCTTCATTTATCTTGGGTGGGGAAGAAGCAGGGGGCCATGTGGCCACCTCAGCCTGCTCATCGGTAAGCTTGTTCAGATGGTGAGGACACCAGGATCTTCTCTACAGAGCCATTTCAAGAAAGCACGTTACATGTGGTCATGCATTTTTGAACTGGTGCCTTCGTGGATACCCCTCCTCTTGCTATATGTGGCCTCAAGTATTAAGTACCTTAATCTGACAGGCTCTGTTTGTTTAGCTGCCACTGGGCTTTTCATTCTTAATAAAGCCTTTTCACTGCAGAAGAAACATCATTCCTACCCCACAAACAGGTTGTGACTAGCACTAAAACAACTATTAGATTGACAGAAAAGTGATCGACAAAGTAATTTATCAAGAACAAATGCAGAATACTCACAGATTCCAGTCTAAAGTCTGTATTTGCCCTTTTTTGCATGAAATAGCTGGGAAATATCTAGGTTTTTGAATGTAGGTCTGGCAAAGCAGACAATGTGAAGATGTAACCTTTAGCTCTGGGAAATTGTGATGGGTCATTTTCACTGTATTTTGATGTTATGTAGACTAAACAAGAGGTAGAAATAGTTTTTACAAGTTGGGAGACAGTTTAGTCTCAACAGTTTAGTTACAATTAGGTTATATTAGGACAGAAAAAAACTCACCATGCAATCATAAGAGCATAAGGAGTGGAGCTAAAAAAATTATTAATTTGAAGTTACTTAGATACAGAAAAGCAGGACTCATTTTAATCTTAGTAGGTCTATGTCAATTGCTTCAAGACTTTTGGATATTAGACACAGAATTCCCCGTGTGTGCAGGAGACAGAGGCAGTGTGTCTCTTTACTTTCATTTTGCATCTCGTTTTGTTATTCTTTGAAGGGTGGGGTGCAGGGTTACAGATCTCACCACCTCCGCTTACCAATTTCCTGGGGGAAACCCTGTATTAGAGATGGCAGCTCAACATGATTGTTGTTTAAACAGACTGTATGAGCAACAGAGAGCAAAATGCTGGCTCCAGAGATAACTAAAAACTAAACTAACTTTTTTTTTTTCTTTTTTACTATACTTCTGTGTAATCTGGTCATTTAAACTAGAGTTGTAGACTTTGGTCTCTGACTACAATGGATTAACCTCTGATTAAAGCGGTTTGAATGTGCATCTTCTGAATGCAGTTACGCCACTTTTCATTAAAACTAAATGCAGTCAATCCGAAACTCTGAAGGTAGTGGAAAATGTTGGACGTTCATTGTTGGTGGTCGATTACTATTCTTAGGTACAAAAGGACAAGGGAAAATCCTCTCCTGCTGTCTGTCACTTCCAGCCCTGCCAACTACTAGTAGCTCAACTGTGGGCGTTGCTTGGCAACAATGACCCTGCCACAACCAGGCCAAGCAATCAATCACAGAGACTTCCGGGAGCCAGGGGAACACAGCGGAGAAAGCCTCGGCTAAAAGGCTTAGGCACAGGCCAAATAGTGAATACGAAAGGGAGATCGGCCGGCTAGATTGGACATAGTGGTGGAGAGAAAACAAAGCTGACTCATTTCATTTCACCCTCCACCACTAAAGGATTGTGGGGGGAGGTGGGTTTTGAATGTCCCAACTGCCAGGAAGTAGCTTGTGATGTATTATGGGTCAGTTCAAGTTGCCCTTCTGCAGTAAAGTGACCAGTATTAGTCTGAGAATAGCAGAAATGGGAAATGGCAACTAAACACTATTAGATGACTATAAAGTAGCTGGTTAGTGAAGAATTAATCATTTCCGGGTGCGTTGGATTTTGTTTAATCAAATCTGGTGGGACACTGTTGCTGTGTGATCCAGCAGCCAATAGTCGTTGTCCTTCCCAAGACATGACGTTGAAATACACAGAAAGTTAACTAGCTGGGCAAATATGAGATAAGCAAGACTGGTTGACCAGTGGAGATTTGGCGACAGTACTATAGTAGCTATTCCTATATCCCCTATATTTTGCATAAATGTGATGAAATGCCTCGATTGATCAGGTATTCAATTCCCTAGATAAGTTCTTGAATTCTTAAGGACTAATATCACCATTTCTAGGGCTGCACACATTGAAGAATATAGAGTTCAATTTGAAAATAAACACACTGGCAACAGATCTGTAGTCAGTATCAAGAGAGGAAAAGTTGGATAGATTCATACTTAGTGATTGCTAAATTAAATTCCGTGTACAATGAAGGAAGATTTCTTTGTATTGCTCATTTCTAATTAGTGGTATGGGATCCATTGTTGCCCTTTCACCAAGAGCTTCCTGAACACACAACATGCAAAGTCTGGCCCATGATACTTCAACAATCCTGAAGCCCGACTCTGGTTTTAGGTCTGAACTATGACCTGCACACTTTTCTGCCCATGCTGCGAACTTGACAAAAGTCAGCCAACGCAGAATTTTAGGTAACGTCATGTGCCAGGAAAACACCAGACTGATCTGTACTGACTGGGAATTTTACCAAAGTGCAAGCCCAGACTGGCAGCACAAGAATGAGACTGAGGAGAACAGGGAGGGTGACCCTTCCCACATTGTGAAATAATTATCCAAAAGATACCATGACAGTGTGAGTTCTCTGTGTCTCGCCTGCACACACAGCCTTGCTCACCACAAGCAAACCTGACTAGCTGGAAAGCATGTGTGGGTACAGACAGGTGGGAGGGATGACAGCTGACCTTTCGCTAAATACAAAACTGCTTTCACTTGGCAAACCACAGCAGAAAGGCAGGCTTGCGGCACCAGTCCCATGAGGGGCCTCTTTCTGGGTGAAGGTGAGTATAATACCTTGTATGTGGACCTCATGTCTGCAGCAGACAAATCTACATTACTTCACCCGTGCAGCTGCTGTGTTGTAATTCAGCAAGGCAGACAGACTCTGAAAGAACCCACAAGGGGGACTGTTGGATTCTCAACATGAAGTTCAGCCTAGATAAGCAATGCCAAACCAGACAACCTGGGGAAAAAAAACAGATACTAAATGATTTATTTTGTGTACTAACAAACATAGCTGCACTATGAATACCACTCTGTAACAGTAAGCAAGTCAGATTGCAAAATGGTGTGAGCAATAACAGAGGCTAGAAAATGTGTCTTCACCTCCAGGCATCTGCAACTGCAAGGAAGTGTCTGCATCTTCGTAGAAACAAAACACTTCTAAAATCATTATAAATCTTTTGGTTAACCAGAATGAGAGTTACACAGTTAACCAGAAATAAATAAATTTCACTGGAAGCCAGCTGTGACGACGTCCCCACCGACACCTACATTTTTGGGTGTGCTAGTGGTCTCTGCTACTATGAGCTATGTAGCGCATGTTTTCTTACTGTGCAAAAAACAGGAACAACGAGGACCATGAGTCGTCCTGTGTCTTAATAAATGACGCAGCAGGCGTATATTGTGCAAATTGGAAGTATGTGGGCTTCATTATACATACATACGCTTTTATTTTTCAGTTAACACAGGTTATTCACCTCCTCTGCAGGTAAATCTTCCATGGAGAGAGAACCTACTGAAACATACTAAGGGAAGATGCTGCATTACGGTCATACAGCAATAACATATCATTTGCCCCAGCTTTGGTTGATTATGTTATGAAAAGAAGAACAATCTATGACATTAAAAAAAACGAGATCCAAGTCTCCTTTAATGGAGGAGACGGTTCAACACACAGCTAATATAGTAGATTTCTGACCTGGAATTAAAATACACCTTTTCCATGTGAATTGTACATCAATGACTATGCATAGGTATTCAAATCAAATATTAAAGTTAAGTATTCTTTAACATAGGTAGTGCACATGCGTCAACAGTGCATGCTGCCAGTTACAGTTGCTCCCGTCGTCGTCTTCTCACTACTCATTTCATTTCTGTCAGTCACATACTGTGGCTGACATTACGTTGTATATATTAGCATATATTGTATATATTTCATAACTATTACAATAAAAATATATATTTCCATTTTTAACTTATATGTATATACAACTATATATAAACACACACACACACACACACATATATTTCTATTGTATATATATTGTGTTAGATTGTAATATAATTATTATTTCTTTCATGGCAAAAAGTAATAACAAATTTCCGGTAAAAAAAATATTTTTGTTTTTAAATAATTTAACATACACATTGTCAACCAACTCTATTTTACATTGATGAGAGCTGCTTCTTCTTACTTTGTACTTCTTTTCACAGTATTTAAATGTGTTTTACTTACTGAATAAACCTTGCAGTGACACCAATGTATTACCAATTGCATTATTTATATATACATACATACATACATACATACATACATCACACACACACACAGGAAAAAACTTTTCATATTGACGCATATCGGATACATGCAGACACTACCAAAATGTCTGCGATAGGCCGATATCATTGGCCAAGCTCTGCTATGAAGGAAGGCTCACTCCCCAATTATAAACACATCTTCCCAAGCAGTTCCTTGCCAATAAAAACTGGTTACGAGGAATGCATGAGTGCATTTCTGATTTCTTCTCCACTGTTGGATGTGTAGTGGCAAGATGGAAGGCCGATACAGTCCAATACTGCTGGGCAGATAATGGCAACTAGGAGTTAACAGCATGGCTTAGCACAGGTAGTACAGCTTTCTCCATCTTGTAATCCTCTCACATTTCACAGCAATGAAGTGATCAAATAAATTCAAGGACGTCCAGCAATTTTTTAATTAGAATTCAAAAAGCGTAAGGATTAGGGCCTCTCTGCTATCATGCTGCCCAATCTCAGTGACTGGCACATACAATAAGCCTCGCTGGATCGCAGTGGAGACATCTAGGTAATTATCTTGTGGCTACTTGGGCGCCCCACACCCGTCCAACGCTCAACACGGAGCTTTCCAAGTCAATGGGAGAGTACAGACAGAAAGGAAATACACAATGCCCTCAAGGCCTGAAGAGGAAAAAGAAATGGTTGCGGTGCATAATGGTAACCCCCACCTCAATGCAAGACAATTGTGGCACTAAAGCCAAGGAACATTGCCCAGGCAGCTTCTAATTAACAGCCTGCAATGAGTTGCCTGCTGCTGGGATGCCATTTGTCTTCTCAGGGGAGCCAACAGACAAGACTATCACCCAGGTGTTAAATAAAGTAGGATCTTTTGTTTAATCCCATCAGTTTTTAATGTTTAATTAAACATATTAACATATGTAACAGCCGTGGTATACCATACTATAGCTGCAGGTTGTACAGACAGACAGTCTTGATAAGGGCAGCCACACAGCAACATTCAATGCTCTCAAAGCTAGAAATAGTGATTGATTAGCTCGCTATGCAAAGAACTTTGAATCCAATACCTCCATGAGCAAATCACCACCGGTCTATGTAACCTAACTCAAGCATAAGTAACAATACAATGAGCTGGCAAGATGCCACCGATGAATACCTATAGTTAAAAACAGCCGTGTTCTGCTTCTGTGCGCCTGCTGATCTATTTCGATTAGTATAAAACAAAAATGATCTGTATCGGTAGCTTAGCGACGACGTCTCCCCTTCCTGGCGTTAGCTTGTGCTAGGCTAAGTTAAACGTTTAGCCTCCAACCCCCATTCTGATTCTCTCAACTAGCTAGCTATCCCTTCCACTCCACCCAAACCCCCTCCCCCATGACACCCACCCTGAAACGCAGGGGAGAGAGAAAAACCGTCAAATCTGGCTTTAATTTCATACCTGGGGTGAGCCTGTGTTCGCCTCCTATGGCCGGAGGAGACATCGAATGCGTTGGGCTGTCGACTGGGGGACGGAGGTTGCATCTTTGCGGGGACGGAGTGCCAGGAGTCCCCGGTAGTGGATTGCACCTTCTCCGCTTGGGAGACTGGGGACTGAGGAGGGCCTCAAACTCCATCGACCGCTTTAACGTTGCTCCACAAGCCATGTTAAGCTAAACACAAAGGCGAAAACAAGTTGGAGGAAAACGACCCGCTTTTTTTAAAAAAAATAAAAAATAAAAAATAAGAAAAATAACGGTGTGTAACGCTCGTGGTTTTGTACGTTTAACGTTGCTCGAATTATCTGAGGCTTTCTTCCTCTCCACAACAACGGGTCTTCTTCACTGAGTGCTGAAGCCAACTGCCGACCCTGCCTGCTGAATTTTTTAAAACGTCACAATGGCGGATCCTACCATCGGAGGAAAGAGTGGGGGGGGTTCTCAATCCTTTACGATATATTGTTTTATACACATGACCGATTTGACTTGTAATTGTGGCCAGGGCTTTTTTTTTTTTGTGTAGTATTGAATAAATATCGGAATAACTCGTGATTTTGTTGTATGTTTTGTTGTTTTACGCCACCGTGTACCGCCGCTCAACCCTGGTGTTGTTGTTGATTGCTTTCCGTTGAACTCAAATTGAAGGGTTCACGAGACGTCTGGTGGTGGTGATCAGGTAAATCAAGCAGATTAAAAATGAACTCTGGAGTGATGTTACACTTAAATCTCGTACAGTAGAAAGCAGATTTATAGTTTTTACTTACCGTCTGTCAACAGCTAACGGGTTTCATACTGTATTTTCGCATTTTCTCTACAGGTAAATAAAAAAGTAATTACCAGATAAGCAGGCTATGTACCATCTTGCAATAGGCAATATCTCTGCCTGTCTGCACGGTGATAATAAACTGGAATAGAGTCTCGATCACACTAGTGTGACTGAAAATATGAATGTTTTTGTAAGCACTGCATGAACACATCTGTATACTAAAGCAGAGATACTTTACCTTCTGATCTTATCTTAGGATAGTTTGTTTTTATCAGCTATATGCATCAGTAACCAGCCACACACTCACTACTGTATGTTGTTTTGAAAATAGTAATGTCCATTAATGAATCGCCCATCAATTTATATTTGCTTCAGTCTCTACCAGGAGATGTTCATCTGGTTGTGGCAGTTTAATATGTGCAATTAAATGACCTCTGTAAATCCCTGATTTAAAGAAAATTCTTGGACCAAAACATTCTTTTTACTGGAATCCTGCCTTGTTAATGCGTAGCCTAATAATATTGTTCTTATTTGACTGTAGGCACATTAAAACAAAACAACATTGTATGCAGTCATTACTGTTAACAGATGGACCTGTGGAAAGAACAAAACATGCAGCCGGTTTTTATTGTAACTTGTGGTTTTTACTGTTGGGAAGTATTCAGCAATAATAGTTAAAGTGGCATTTTTCTCCTCATAAAAAAGTGATAAAAGCGATATGAGCAATCATTTTCTTGATTTTCCACTGGGTAGTTCCATTAGATAGGACATAAATGCACATTTTCCTCCTCACTGCATTCTTTAGCTGTTTCTGGTTATCTGATGTAGCATTTTGAAGAATAAAATACACTCATTTCCAATTTTATGATCATTCTGGAGGCTGTAGTTTGAGTCGCTGTTGAATTATACTGAGACGGGTTTCTAATATTTAGCCTACCCTTATTCATATAAACTGGGTAGGCCTATACAAAATAACACAAATGCCACCTCACAGTATAATTAAAATCGTTTAAACAAACATATAAACATTAGAACTTTTATGAAGGCAGAATTTATTGTAGGACTGTTTTATAAGACCCACTAATAAACTTACTCCTAGACAATTCTTATTTTCTGGCAGGGCAGACTCCCAGCAACCTCACTAAAAAAACATCCACCCAGAAGATTGATACAGAGATAAAGACTCATTGCAAACACCACCACCCAGTGCTGACTTGGTTTCTAACAATGACATAGCTTTACTTATGGAATTTGCTAAATACCAAAATAAAGACTCAAACTGGAGTATGGTCAAGTATTATTTTTTAATCAGTTGATATAGCAGTTTACACATGTTCTGTCTGGTATCCAATGGCACCTGTGAGTTTAAGTGCATGTCAATGTCTGTCAATATGTTCTTCACTGCAGCTGCCAGTTGTGACCATTGCAGAGAGTGTTCTAGCGTCCATGCTCGTTCTCTTCCTGGCGTGTGTCCCATTTACCTCGGCACACTGCTTGGGATTCATGTGGTGAACATTGTGTGAAATCCTCCCGTGCTAGGGGCCTTTGTGGAGTCCTGGCATTCATGTGCAGATAGGAAGGGCAACCCACAGGGTCCTCTTTTCCTGCACGCCGAGGGACAATCCTCAAACATAAACAAGGACACGAACAATAAATACACTTTTCTACTGTGTGGTGAACCCAGAAGTTAAGTCAGCACTTCAGTTCACAGGACACATGTAAAAGGAGAGAGAGAGAGAGAGAGAGAGAGAGAGAGAGAGAGAGTCACGGGGGGTGGAGAGGTTAAAGGTTATGGGTTGGATCGTCACATACACTAAAATGTTTGCCAAAGCCTATTTAGCATTGTTTCTACTGAAATCTGTTACTAGTGTCTTTCTTCCACTCATCACCAAAATGTAAAAACACTCCTAGCTGTAGATAGCAATATTTTGAAATCCTACCATACTTATATGATCAAATTAATAGCTCATGGTGACAAAATATTTGCCAAGGTTAATGGTTTCTTCTTACAAGCTGTCTTTTCCGTGTATCTTGTAACTGCAAGTAAAACTAAATTTGTAGCACGTTTCCCACATTATATACATTTCTGATCTTAGTTATCACCAGTTATTTTAGTTATGTTTAATAGTCTTTACTACAGCAGCCTTTACCACAGTAAATTCTATCAAAAAGACAAGTTTGAGTATGATGAATGAATGATAGATGAATCCTGCTCACAGATATTTTAGATATTAATCTGAATCTACAGTGAAGTTGTGAGTAATGTCTGTTTTTACACCCCAAGCACGCTGCCATAAACACAGACACTTCTCTATCTACAGCTACTCCTTAACTCATTTTCTGATTGTTCACCACTTCTGAGATCGAGTTAAGTCGGGTGGTTCTGTTCCTGGACTCTTCTGCAGAGGGTAACCCTGGTGGTACGCATTCTGCTGCTCTTTTACACTTCCCAACCTCACACAGCTTCTGTAGCAGCTGCAGTAGAGCGACTCTTAACTCTCGACAGCGCAGTGCATACAGCAGTGGGTTGACGGCAGAGTTGACCAGGCAGAGGGTGCTGCAAAAGGCGAAGGCTCTCTGTTGGGTGTGGGTAAGGATCACAGAGACATCAGCTAACATGAAGGAGAGTGCAGGAAGCCAGCAGCCCACAAGAATGAGTAGGATCAGACCAAAGGTACGTGCTAGCCTGATATCCATCCTCATGCGGGCCTGGCCTGTACCTGCTGCTCCCTGGAGGTTGGTCATGGAGGACTCATGGCGGTGGGCCTTCCACAGGATGAGAACGTAAGCCCCCAGAATGAGAGCCAGAAGCACAAGGATGAAGCTGGTCCAGCAGGCCAGATAACCCTGGTTGATGTAGGGAAAGAGGCGTGAACAGGGTGGAGTAAGCTCTGTGTGACACCTCCAGCCCATCAGAGGCAAGAAAGAGATGAAGATTGTGGCACTCCAGAGGATCAGCAGGCTCAGCAGGGCTCGCCGGCGGGTCAGCACTGTCTTATAGCTGGGGGCCTTTTGAATGCAGAGGTAGCGGTCCAAAGCAGTCAGCAGTAAACTCCCCACTGAGCTACTGAAGGCCATGGTGACACCACCTAATTTAAAGAGGTAGGCCGTGGGGCCATCACTGTGGTGAAAGAGGTGAAAGTCCAGGAAGCTGGTGGTGAAGAAGCAGCTGGCAAAGATATCAGCCAGAGCAAGGCTGGCAATGAACAGATATGAAGGCCGTCGCCGCAGGGTGGCTGTGGCAGCGATCACTCCCAACACAAGAGCGTTTTCCAGCAGTGTAATGGGACCTGCCAGGAAACAGATGGAGCCGATGGCTGTCCTTTCTGCCTTCATAAGGACCATGTAGCATTCCAGATTTTCACAAGAACTGTTAACTGTAAGATAAATACAGATATCAGGACACATTTTAGTGGGAAAGTGTGCTGAAACTACAACTGCAATTGTAAATGCATCCTTAAGTATTAGCATGAACTGCATTATCTTCATCAACCTCAAAATCTAAAGAAGTATATTTAAGGCTGCATACCTATTGGGGACGAGGCGTTCTCTTTGGCTTCTGTGGGTCCTAAAGAAGTGGGAACCTCCATTTCAACTGTTACAGTATGGGCCAGTGCTAAAATGTAATGAGCAAATAAGGTAAGTCATTTAAATGTTTGTTGTTTTATTAAGACAAATAAACATATCAGCAGCCAAAACACAGCAAAAATTGTTATTGGAATTCATCAGAATTTTATTTTGTTATAAGTGATTACAAGATTACTGTAATTAATGTGTAAGACAAGAGAACGAATACAACAAGATCAAAACCTCTAGAGGAAAAATAATACAAGAAAAAAAAACAATTATTATTCTTTAATTATGTGATTGATGACAAACATTCACCTCTTTTTTTTTTACAGTAAGTGGATGAGACAGGCAACAAATAAACTAGAAAATGACTTTTTCTCTCTTTGTCAATATTGAACTTAGTGCTAAAAAAGAACATTAACATGTGTGAGTCACGGCAGAAAGTCATTTAGAGGTCAGGGCAAACAGACAATGATCATTACAGTATCTGCTGATGCTGATATTGAAGAGATTGTTGCAAGGAGCCCGCTAGATCATGGTTTAAAGCAAGCCATAAACCAATTTTCTTTGAAAAGAAGAAAGAAAGAGCTTCATATCTGTCCGTGCTATGTAGAAACACTTAATGTGACCATGATCTTTTCGGTGTGATTCCTAAAATCCTCGGATCTTATCACTTTCAGCTGCATATATAAAACATTTATAACTATTATGACTTGAACATGATCAACATATATAATCCTTTATTGTATAATGATGAATACATTTCCTTGATTTCTTGATCCAGAGTGACAGCGGAGTGTCCAGTGAAACTCTATACCTCTCTCTTTTTCATTTTTATGATGTGAGCTTGTCCAGAGGATTAATATTTAATTCATTTTTCCACAGTGATTTTACTGTAAGTGCATTCAGTTACCTGCTGGGATGAACATAACAGCAGACTGGTGTTGCTGGTCTATTATCATATTTAACAGGATGAAGACTGCCCCCTTTTGGAATTAGAGGGGAATGTACTGTAACAAAACAGTAAATCAGTGGGTGAAGGTCACCACAGAGATGAACAACCTCCTGTAGAGTACATCACTTGTATTCAATCAATAGATTAAACTAAGTGTTGAAAGCTGATGTGAATGGATTTGATTAATGTAAACAATGCTGTAATAAACGAGAGCGACCACCTAGAATTTCTCACAATCGACTGGCTTAAATATTTTTGGGAGGCAACAATATGACAAATAAAATAATTCACACTAACTTTAAAGGAAAACTTGTTCATGACACCTGGGAAACACTGAGACAATTACATTTTAAAAAACATTAAAACAAATGAAAGAAAATAGGAGGCTTATATGACTCCTATATAGGATATCCTCAGGAGTAGACTTCACCCAGTCACTATGCCCTTTATTCCATTTTTATCCCTTTATTCTGTCTCCAGTGACCATTATTTTTCTTCAGAAATTTGGTACACCTTATGAAAGCATAGGAAATATATTTGGGCAGAAGTGATGGAAGTAAATTACTTTCCAGAAAGCCCCTTATTGACTTGAGGGACAATATTTCTCAATTGAACTGTGGGCCATATGGGTGCATGCACTGTGGATATTACACACCCTCAGGCTTGTCTTTCCTCCCTTGTGGTGAAAGATCTTGATTGGCTGAGTGCTGTGTTTTGACTATTAAGGATTCTTCAAAATGATTGCCTCTTCAATAAAGCAGCAGCATATAATAAAAAAACATACAGGCATCCAATCGAGTCTCACCACTGGTGACCTGCACGTTGAAATATGATGTGTCAATAACTCATTGAGTCACTGTTGCACGCCGCCACAATCTTACAAAATGTCACAAGTAGAAGCCAAAAACCGAAACATTTTAGGGCGAAAGTATACTGCACAAATACACAAACTGCTGAAGATTAATTCCTTATAACTTCAAAAAATATATGTACATCACATTTTCACAGAGCTTTCTTCACAAAGCAAGTTTAAATCCAATTTAGGAATTTATTACTATCTTCATTTGAACTTTTAACGGAATAACCTTTTAAGAGCTTACCCTTTTGTTGTTTCTGGTACCTGGTGGTTTCCTGTTTTCGATTTTATATTGCCTCTCAGCAGCAGAGCAGCTGCAGCATGGTCTCACAGACCTACAGACCTGACTGGTGGCAGACTGCGATTGTGAGGGGAGAAGATAAAGAAGCTGTGGCTGTGATGACATGAAGGCGGGGGGGAGGGACAGGGAAAGAGAGAGACACACACACACACACACACACACACACACACACACACACACAGAAAAAGATAGAAGGATGAGCCCAAATGATGTTCTTTTGAAGTATTACAAGTACATCTGGAGTCTTTAATGAAACTGAGAATAAAGTAATAGCAGAAGAGCCCATTTTTCTGTTTGATTATATATACTAGAGATTAAAGGGACTAGATGAAATGTTTCCATATGTATGCATTATATACATATACATATAATAGAGATCACACACATCTGGGTGTCCTTCTCAAGCGATGCCGTTCCAGCAGTCAGGATGGACTCATGGGAGGAGAGCACTTAAGCAAGGTGTTGGGTGCTAGGTGTGAAAAACATGTCGATAAAAAAAGGAGGAAAAACACACAGTGCAGCATTTACTTGAAAAATATAAATAAAGTGACTTTGTCATGGTTACATTATGCTTGGCTGTGAACCCATTACTCCCACTGAGAGTGTTTTTCCCCCCCAGTGCATTAATGACCTCCTAAGTGTACCTTGAGTAAAGATTACTTTGCCAAACTACTTTGCAAGGTCAAGATTAAACTTTCAAATTAACAACCTCCTTTTACCCAGCCAGGATAGCAGAAGACATCTTGCCATTGAATTATTCCTTTTTGTCCAGCTCTTTTGCTAATTACTTTCCACTCATCTTCATTTGAAAGACGGTATCTGGGATCACACATGCACGCTCTCACCCCTTCCTCGTAGGAATCACATGGTTTATGTTTTTTATAACATATTGCTTGAAGGATGACAAGAATAGCTTAATTGCTTGCCCTCTGTGGATTGGAAGGACTGGCAAGATGATAAAATAGGAGATTTTAATTATGTCTGCTTTGTTAATTTAAAGATACAAGTGTGCACATTATAAAAGACAATTGAATATGATTGTTTTGTTCTTGGTGTATAATAAAGAGTTCCTTTGAAAAAAATTGACTTAGTTGTTTGATTTTGTTTTACCTTTTATACCTTTCTATCAAACTGTTTAGCCCTGTTTTGTGCTCATTCATTTCAAATGGGGCTTATTAGGGTTTATTATTGAACATGTTTTCACTGGATCCACAGTATGTACTGAAGTGTCTCTATTGCAAATTCACACAGATTTTTTATCTTTTCTTTTACACTACTGACCAATAGCCATTGAAGTCAAGGTAAGTGGGTGGGTCAGGGTGTAATACTGCTTGCAGCACAGCAGGGGGCAATGCCAAGCAACCATGAACTAGTGGGCATGAGTCATGAGTCATGAGTGACTGGCAGTGAACATAATTAACATGGCTATGTGTTAAAAGGTTGTTCAGCCTTTTAATCTTTATTATCCTTCAAAGATACAAAATTGAACGCACCGAGCCGTTCCCTCATCAATTAAAGCCGTTTAATTTAGCTAATGTCCCTCTGGTGAAAATAAAAAAAAGTACATTAGTAGTTCAATAACAACTGAATCAGGTCATGAAATCACATTCCTGAGGCATTCTGAAAATGAATTAGCATCCTATTTTAGCCTCCCACTTTAGAGAAAAGTATGCTAAATAAAACAGTAACTGGGACTAACAAATATATTCAATAACAAGAAAACAGGTCAGAAAGTTTTGTGAAAAGTTGACGTTCAGACACCATTCAATAAAGTGACTTATGATTTGAAAAAGCTCTTGTAATAAGATGGTGATATCAGGTACACTGGTCGTGTCCTCTCCTCCTCTGACCTGAAAGATCCAGCAGACCAGAAGGCAGGAAATGTGATTATGAGCAGACAGCACAGCTCCAATAAGATTTCTTCTCAGTCACTGTCTGACCAGGTGCAGCACAGCAGAACAGGCCACAGGACAGAATAAAGCTGGAAATGTTCAATTATCAGCTGAATTACATCATCCTGTTACACAATCCCCTTTTTAGAAATCACCTTGGACACAAACATTAGGGCTCGCCTTGCGGTTTCAGATGGTTTCAGGCTGAATCCATTAATCAAATTTCCTCTCCTCATTTCCAGATTGCCAGACGTTCAGGCAGCAGTATCAGATCACTGATGTGAAAAACACAAGAAAAAATGAACACATCAAACAAAAATCCAATTACTTCATGCTAAATGCTTTAATAATGATTAATTATTTACAGGCTTGGGAAGTAATGGATTACATGTTACAGAGTTACCTAATCAGGACACAAAAAGGTTACTGTAATCCATTACAAATACAGTAAACAGAAAAAATATGAAATCAGATTAGTTACATTTAGTAGAAATGGGGATTATTATTATCAGGATTGCAGTTTTAAAATACATCACACAGTACAGAGTGAGTTCTGCCTTCCAGCTGTGCAAATGATCCCTAGACTACTGCCTGAATTTGCTTAATCTAAAGCTTTTCTTTAAAACTACACTAAGCAGAGAACACATTTTTTATGCTGAAAATCTTTCTATTTTATTTTAAGGTTACATTGATCGTATACACACAGAATAGACGCCATCTACTTTCTTTTCACTTGACTTTATCAGCACATTTGGTATTGAGGTAATCCAAAATTAGTATCAGATAGTAATCAAGTTAAATTACTTGGATTAGGTTACTGACATTACACACTTTTAACTAACTAATTAGTAATTTTTGAAGTAACCCTCTTAACACTGATTATTTACTTTGGTTCTTGGAATTATGTGGTTCAACTGTAAAATAAAAGGCTTAAATTATATATAAGGCAATCAAAGGGGGAATTTAAAACTACAAAAAACGTATTTATTATAAAATTTAAAACATTTCTTACATGTTCCTTATTGTTTTTGCATTTGCTATTTACAATACTCAAGACACACAAGTACAAGACTTGATCTTCTGTTCAGCATTCACCAATTAAATGTTAAAGTGGTATAAAGGACTTGTGTTGACTTGTAGTTGTACTCAGTGCCATAGGATTTGAAGAAATTCTAAGGTCATGAATCGAAGTCCCCAGTAATTACTAAATTATTTAACATTTTTTGATTATTACATCTTAATGGTCTCATTAAAATAACTGTCTCAGGGCATATTTCCACTGTAATTAGAACATGATAGTTCCTTCCAGAAAATGTCCTAGGAAATTGCACATACACGTCTGAATGTAGACATATTCTAAAATCTAAGATACCGGATACAACTGAACCAGAAATACCAAAGGCTTGACCTCAGTGTCGTCAGTGGTAGCTAGGGCCCTGCTTGTACTGATATCCAATGAGGAACAACATCAAGTTTTATTCTAGCCCTGTATTGTCTTCCATCACAGATTTGAAAAACACAGGAAGTGCATTGGACAGTTCTGTGCTGTTTTTGCTTAGAAAGACATCTGAAGGTCCGAACATCGGCACCTGAAAAACAATGTAGAGTCAATGACCCAACAACCTTATCAGTGCGCTGTGGGTCTTCAAAAATCTTGAAATATTGTGTTAAATGAGAGATTTTATGTGAAAACATGTATTCATAATACTCACAACTGTATTGTTTATATTGATTTGTCCATTTATTTATTCTTTGCCATGGGCTCATAAGTATATGGAATAAAGGGGTAGGTGGGTACTGACACTGGGTCTGTATTTGTGTTGCTAGGCCACATTGTCTTTTATTATCACTATATAGCTAAAACAGAGATGTGTGGACATGTGTGTGTCTTTGACTAGATTGTACACAGTGTATTTAATTACAGAGCGTGTGTCCCTTGAGTGCATTCGGGCTCCTTTGTGTTATGTCACAGTGCCCCCACCAACCTACGGGAAAAAAAACAAAAAGGGAAGACTGTGTGTTGTACGTGCTTATGGCTGTTATAAAAGATCTCTGATATGCGCTCAACATGTTGCTGAGTGTTGTGAAACTGTTTCTGCTTCTGTTCTTTCCCACTTCACTTTGTGTAGGGGGCGTTGCCTTTCAGTCTATTCAAATTCATGTGAAACCTAATTGATCGTTTACCTTCCGCCATTTGCACCCACTAACTACTGTAAAAGGCCTGTGAGCCAGAGAGAATTAGACTTGTTTGTTTGCAGCCTTTCCAGTATAGTCACCATACATTCACTGTGTCCAGACATGTTTATACTGCAAGCCTTTTGTGACCCGTCAAATATGGAGATTTGTTCACCTCCTGTGATCTGTACGACCTACAGAAGCCTCTCAGTGACCTACTTCCATACATAGACTCTTGATCGGCACCACCCCCTTCAAAGGTTGCTTTGCTTTTGGGGAGTGTCTTTCTACGGCCTTCAGCTGTGAGCGCTGGCTGACGCAGACTGTGTTACGCAACGTTTTTTAAAAACCCAGACACTTTAAACAAGGTGAAAATGACACTGATCGCGGACTTAGATATGAGTTAATCTATCACGCTAGTTGTTTTATATTCTTTAGACTTAGACCTGCAGACTCCCATAAAGCCAGCTGTAAGAGCACAGCAGGCTATCACACATGACCTTATAAAGACATGGGGGGGAAGTACAAAATGCATTTTTCAAAAGCAAATACTAAGTAGGCCTAAGTGCTGTAAGGTAGAAAACCCTGAGAACTAAAAAAATAACACAATACCTGAGTCTAACACAGGATACATGAAAGCTAAAAGCTGGGTGGCAAATGATAGAAGAGGGCAACAGAGGCCAAGTTCTAAGTGTTAAACAATGATTTTAAACCAGATTCAGCCACTGAATACAAAATTATTCAGCAGTAACACAACAGAAAATGATCAAAATACTCTTAACTTTAACTTTAAAAAGTAGTGTAAACAAGCCACATATGCCCTGTAATTTACATGTTATACTAATCTGTTTTTAGTATCCCCACACACCTCAACTCTCTGTGATACTGGAGTCCATTGTAAACCATTTGGTTCTAGGTTAAATCAACAAAACATCAGGGGGAAAGAAGATTCACACCTAAATAACCCCCAATAACATGTGCAGCTGTTGCAGATTAATGACAGTATTAGTTTATATGACACTATATAACTTGAACAGTAGTGTATTAACTCTGAATTGGGCTTTTGTAGCCTATCAAAGCTCACACTGACTGTATGAGTATGGCACCAAATGAGCCTATTGTAGCGTATACCCTGTGCAGTCAAACCTCACTCTCCCTTTCCTGTTTTCATTTCACTACCCAATAAGAGGGGCTGTTTCAATAAAATGGTCAATGTCTTGTTTTTAGCAGGACAGATAAGCTCGGGGGAGAGATATGTGTGTGTGTGTGTGTGTGGGGGGGGGGGATGGGCAGCTCACAGACAGAAGCTGTTGTGTTTCATTACAGCCTGTTGCAGCTGTTTCAACTCAGCACAACAGGTTTAACCACTAAACCGGAACCGTGGAACAACAAATCCGTTTTCTCAAAGCAGAAAATAAAATTACGTATGCCAGTAAATCTAAACTGGGTAGGCCTGGGTGTTTACCTTTTTTGAACTAGGGAGCGACATTACATAACACAAAACTACATCTAATGCCCCCCCCTCAATAAAAAGACGTCGAATGCGACCTTGTAGTTACTTCCTGTGTCGTTCAGCGTGAACTTTTTTTTTTTTTTTTTAATGCTAGGAAGTGGTTTGGCTTTCTGTTATTTTCTCACTTCTCTCAGGAAATACCCCGAGCTCCTCCAACAAAGGGGAAGGAGAGAGGAGGGTCGGTGATTGACGTCACCGGTCTGGCAACAGACGTGAACGCGTCTGGCCCGTCTCGTCGCTGATTGGTCGCTCGGTTTGTACTCGATACGTGATTGGTCGGATCTCGGTAAGAGGGAGCTACATATCTCTGCTGTAGATTCCATTTTGTTGCAATTCAGACGGAGTCGGGAGAGAGAGAGAGAAGTGGCGTCTATACGGCCACTTTTAACACCACATAAACTTCGAAAGTGACGGACTTGTCGGGGAATATAGCTTTGCTGTGCTTCCTACATAGTCCGCCGAGGGATTTCACTAAATTTTTTTTTTCTTTCTAACGAAGGGCTTCATCAACCAAGCCTGAAGAAGTCGGTAAGCAGAAGCCGTTTTGTGCCTCGTCGCCATATTGAGCTCATCGTTTCTTTGTTTTGGTTTTGTGCCAATGTAGTGTAGACCCCGAGACTACAAACGCGTTATTTACTCAACTATTAGTTCAGGGTTGTATTAATCAATACACCGCGATTTAGGTGTGTAATACAAACTTTTACTACGTTTTTTTGGTACACCGATAATCGTCAACACAAACAGCCACTAAGGACAAAGCGGACTGCACTGAAGCTAAGCTGGAGGCTCACAAACAAAGTGGAATAATAAACATGGCGCAGTTTTCTTATGTAATATTTTGTTGTGATCGACAGTAATGTGCATGTAATATTTTTTTTATCACTAAATGATGAGTAGTTGTCGTTTTTTGTCTGGTATTGATTTTTGTTTTGCAGTGCTAGATGTAATGACGCACTCTAATATACGTCCCCCCTCCTCCCCCTTCCTGGAAGAAAACAGTGCAGGCGGAATAACACATCTTGTATAATGTATAATGCCATCATAACACGTCCATTTGGCACTTGACTGAATTTTGTTTTCCCCTATTTAAGGTACTCGACTTCTTGGAGCATCGTGTGCCGAGGTGAGTTGATGTTCAGCTCGGCTCCACGTCAAAACAACGCTCATTGGCACATGAAAACCTTAGACCTTGCTGGACAAAAAAGTGCAGTGAGAAGTAGACTGAGAACTACTTCGAGGACCTGGGGCCCGATTGGAGGCGAAAGATTGAAGAGAGAGCTCTGCTTCGTCGACTTTCTAACAACAAAGAGGTGAGCTGGAGCTGTTTTGCTCTCGACAGTGTGTGGGGGAGGGGTGACGCGGGCCTGACTGTCTGGTGTTTCTGCACGTAGCCCCCGGGTGGTTGTTTTCATTGAGCGGTGGCGCGGTGGATGGATTAGATACTGTTTTACAATAAATAATAATAATTAAAACCCCGGAATTTCACAATATTAACAGGATTTTGGTGCAGCACTAAACATATATTCTATATCATGTAGGTGACACCTAGTGCTGAAGCATAATGGGAGGCGGAGAGAGGTACAACATTCCAGTTTCCCACCCGGAGCGCCCGTTCCCCAAGAAGAACCACCAACTTGGTCGGGCTAAGCAGAGAAGCCGTGATCAGAACGGGGCAGCAGCATCTGCAGGAGGGGTAGGGGGTCTTCACCATCATGGCCACCGCAGAAGCGAGAAAGGCGCAGCCTACCACAGGTCTCCAGAGGCACGGCAGGCCGTGTCTGCAGACAAGAATGCTTCTGTCCGTTTTGCCACCAACTATGATCAGAACTGGGAGGGTGCTGTGTCTCACCTCAATACGCTCCTGGCCACCCAGGGAAGTCCGAGCTACGCAGGGCCGAAGTTCAGCGAGCCACCCTCACCCAGCGTGTTGCCCAAACCCCCCAGCCACTGGGTGTCCTTCCCAATGGGCTCCTGTGACAACAGGGAGATGATGGCCTTCCAGCTCAAGAGCCTCCTAAAGGTGCAGGCCTGAGAGGGATACCCACATATGATCGAAAAAAAAAGCCAATGAACTGGGATTCTCTTGAGGGCACCCACCCACCAGGAACACCTCAGTGCTGTAATACTTTTAGATGTTTTTAGATTGACCCATTAGTGTGAAGTGTGAGGCACTTGCAGCAGTGTTTGCTGCGAATGTTTATTTTAACACACTTTTTTAAAACAAACAAATATTTCAAGATATTACAGCCCCTGAGCCTTGCTGGTCGGTGATGCTTTTAGTGGAGTCAGTTTCTATGACTATTGACAAACTGGATATCTTTTGTACTTGTTTTGTTCTTTTTAATGTTGGCTGTCAAAGCAGATTGAGTGCCTTTTTCCCTACCAAACAAGGGTTATAGTATAGGTCAGGTAAATTCCCAACACCTTTACGGTCCATTTCTGTTGGACACAATATTTCATTTACATAAGTTTAATGATGATTCTTTAGACTCTTCCTCTAAAGGTTCAGGTGCTAAAGCAAACTCACATTTGTAGCATTTTTTGACTAGGGCCCACTGTATTTTCTTATATGTATCTCTGTCCTTGTTTGGTATAGAAAATGGACACTCAACTGCAATTCTGCAGGGAAAAGGCTATCTTACTGGAGGTAATAAGCTGTAGTGAGTAAGTACAGGTCAAAAGTATAACCTCAAATTGAAGGGTAATAAGAGACCATGGCACACAGGCCTTGGACTGTCAACTCCTGTACCTTTTTTATTGCGCTGTGCGCACATGCACTATAGGAGTTGATTTTGTCCGGGGCCCACAACACTCTATCATAGCATTATTTTGTACAAGTCCTTTTTTGTTGTGGTTGAAAGATGTATGAAGTGCTGCGTGTAACCAAAGCAATGTTTTTTGCTGTATTCTTTTCCCTCCTTTTTTTTTTTCTATTTTGGACTTCTGTGTGGTCGGCAATGTTGCCATTGCCACTTTAACCTTGCCAGCCCGAGTGGTGAACAGGTTTGAGTCCCTTGGTCACTTCTAACTGTTCATCTGTTCCAATCAGTACTGTTATTGCTCCTCAGTCTCAGCCTATTCAGGACAGTGCAGCAGCCTAACATGCGGAAGAGGGCCCGGCTTATAAGTGGGACTGTTTGAGTTTCACTTTCTAAGTCTTGTGACATGGTCCTGTTAGCTGCTTGCATTTGTAAGCAAGGTATGGCAGAGCTGAGGAAAGTTTCTGAAGTGAAGTGGCCCAAGGGACTCTGAATGAGGCAGGAGGCCGGTGTTTATGTTTACAAAACAGGTCTTAATGGTTGACCATCCCATAATCAACAGACACTCTTTGCCTTTTGCCTCTGCTTCTTGTTTACCCTCTTGCACTGCAATCAGTTTTTAATAAGTTACAGGCCAGGATGCTATAGACATGATGGAGGCGTAATTGACTATCTCCCTATGGATTCTCTATTTTTGTGATTTCAATCCTCTATTGAGGCGCTCTTTGCTTTCCCTTTGCAGAATTGGAGCTGTTTATGGCCAGCCTAAAGATGACAAAACAAAGTATGAGAGCTTGTTAGTGTGTTCAAGAGCCATGTAAATAATGAAATGTATAAAGTACTTGTAGCATATGTACATTTGCAGGCCAAGTTTGATGCCTGTCTGACAAAAGTATTTTTAGTAATAACACTGAATGTATAAGACATGCTAAGGACATGTCTTGACTTCAATGTCTTGACTTCAATACTGAAGAATATTTTTGTTAAAAAAAAATTAAATCTGCCGATAGCATTTGCCAGTACCCCTGCACTGTTATCTTTCCAGAGATCTTGCACATGTTTTTTATTGTTTTGTATTATGCAGTGTAGGGTGAAAGACGCGAAATGCAAATTAAGCAAAACAGTAACTAATCAATTTGATCCCAGAGGAGACTTTCTTATGTATGGATTTGAGTTCCGAATGTGCTTACAGTATGCGTAAGCGTGATGCTTTTAATCTTGAGTTGACCTGTTTGTGCCTAAGTTGAAACCCATGCTGAAACTGACTAGTTTCATTAGGTGGCAATGCCACAAACTGACCAAATGTTTTAATCAGAACCACCTTCACTTCTCAGCTGTTCTTCCGCCAGCTGACAACTGAACTTGGTCCAATGCTGTATAACTATTACCTTCTATTGGTTGTTCATGTAAACATTTTCTTTCTTGCCCTGATTGAGTCGTGCATGGTAAAGTCTCCTTGTTCTAAATTTAAAACATGTAATGAATTGGCTGTTAATTTGTCCCACTGATAAAAAATGTCACCGAATATGAAAAGATCGAAATGCCCTGTTTTTAAGATTAGTATCAATTGGTGTTCAAAAAAAGAGCATATGTAAAAGAATGCACTGTTTAATTGATGACAAAATTTTGCCAAAAAAAGAAATAAATCCCTTCCCCTCCCCCCTATTTTTGTCTGTGCCTGAGTATCTTCGAATTGGTGTTTACACTTGATTTATTGTTGTATAGCTCAAGAACAGATCTGTTCTTGGCCAAAGTAACTTGTGCCATGAAATTGTAGTCAGTACAGCTCAGGTGTTCAAAAAAGAAGAATGGAGAGAATTTATTCATTTATTGATAAAGAAGTAAAACCATAAAACTAGGGTAGCAGTATGAAGGAACACTTAAAATATTCAACTGACTGTTCAGTGACTGAACGAAGGACATTAATATGAATGCAGCTCATCTCAAACATATTTTCACATGAAATTCTGGACAAAGTATTAGGTGGCAATGGCATTTCATGTCCACAGTAATTAACAGCTACTATAATAGACAGTTTGCCTGCTGTATAATTACAAATGCCACAAACCTGGCATTGACACTAACATACTTGATAAACACTGGTACGTCAGGGCCTGAAGTTATACTTTTTATTCATGTTTACATAATACACAAACAATGGAACCAAATAGAGAGGCATTTCAACAACGGTATGAACGGATGTGAATATTGCTAACGCAAAGTACAAAAATATTGGCAACGCCAAACCGTATCATTTTCCACCTACCGACATTACAAGTACAAAATATTTGCCCAAACTCATCCAGAATCTACTGTGCTTTCATCAATCACTTCAAAAAAAAAAAAAAACTTTTCACGATGCTAAAAAAATATGAGCTCCTGCTGCTCTCTTTCCTTTGGCAACAGACTCCTCCATTACATAATGATAAACAAATGCAAACGAGCATAACACTCCAGTTATAGTTGAAAGCTAAACAAAAACATCAAAGACAGATTATCAGGGCTTGCGAGGTCAGTGGCCTCCAGACTTGCGTCCAGCCCAGGACCTGGAGCGAGAGCGTGACCGGGACATGGATCTAGAGTAGGAGCGGGATGGAGAACGTCCCACAGACTGTTTCTGGGAGCTGGAGGTTGGGTGGAAGTCTTCAGCCGGGCTGTGGGACCTGGATTGGCTCTTTTTACCTTTGGGCCTGGCTCTGGAGGCTGAAGGGGAGTGAGATGCAGAACGGCTACGTGAGCCTGGTTCATGGTGTGTTCTCTGGTGCTCACGGGGAGGACCTCTGTACCTGGTGGAACCATTACTACTTATTAATGAGAAAATGTGTGCTTTGTATAGTTTAAGAATAGTACAATAGCCCTTGTTTACTGCAAGATGACAAATAAGCATACTTTTCATTTTCGTGGCTTCTGCTCCGTCTATGTCGACTGTAGGACCGAGAGCTGTAGAGGAAAATAAAAACAAACTAGTTTTTCAGGATGTAACTTTCAAGATGAGGTGCCACACATTTAATCCAGGTAAGAGAACAATGAGTTATTGTAATTAAGCAGTGTGTGGTTTCTTGCTGCTGCTTCTTTTTTTCCTTTTTTTTTTTTTAAAGAGACAGGACTGGTTTATAGCAGTTCCACTGAGGCAGAAAGTAAACAATAAAATAAGGATTAAATCCTCAGTCTTCTTTGATTTTGATGATCTTCTTTCTTAGTAATAGTGTGTTTGGGAATGAATAAAAAGAGGAACCTAAAAAATACCCAGATTAACCTAGATATTAGCTTAAGTCACAGTTGGGTCTGTTAAAACGTCTTAGGCTGGGGTACTGCAAATATAAGATATTGGAGTCAATATGATAACCATATACCAAAATTATACATTTCCATCTCTCTTAGTTTGGAGAACATACTGTATGTTGTGTTTTTCATTTAAAGCAATATGCCAAAGTGCTCAATGCACCAACAAAAACTTTGCATAAATTAAATAAAAAAGATCAGAAAAGTTCCTGATCAAGATCCGACTTGTATATTTATAGTCTGATCAGATATTTCACAAAATCGGACCAAGCATTCGACTCAGTATTAAGTATTTCAGTTAGATACCCAGCCCTAATTACTACACACATTGTAGGACAGGATTGTCACTGAGTGCTGATTAGATTATAAAACTTAGTTTGTTTTTTCTCCATAGGTTTTGAAGTCCCCCCCCCCCCCAAGTACAAATAAAGTTTGCCAAGAACTCACTCTCTGGGGCTCTCCGACCTCCGAGGACGGCGCTCATAGGAGGGGCTTCGGGACCTGTGTCGATCGTAGCTACGGCTCCGGGACCGTCTTCGGCGGCTGTCCCTATCCCGATCCCGGTCATCATCGTAGCGGGAGAAACTTCGGGGGGAGTGGCGCTCCTTGGTTTTCATCTGGTTAGGAGCTTGATGGACAAATTCACATCAGGACATTAGGTAATTACACACTCAATATTTCCAAACAATACTGAATGCGGCTTTACAAAAGGTAAATGCTGCTTAGATAGGAATGCTAATCGTTCTTACTCTTTCTGTCTCCTTGGGCAAACTGGATCTCGATCTGACGCCCACAAACCCATTTGCGGTCCAGGTTGTGAAGAGCGTCCTCTGCATCCCGTACATCTTCAAACGTGCTGTATTGTTAAGGCCTTTTTATTTTGAAATTTGGAAAGTTGGGACAGAGAAGGCTGCACACATGCACAACAATTACAAAAAAAGGCTGCAACACAGGTTGACAGCTGCAGTTTATGAAACACAGCTACTGGAGTTAGATCAGTGTGGTGAAAAATCAACTAGTTCAGGTAATGACTTAAAAGTGAAAATTAATGAAATTTTATTGTCTTCAGTCTGAAATTAAACATAAAACTGAACCAATAGACCCATTTGTGATTTCAAATTGTGAGGACAAGACAAATATTGATGATCAGATTCAGTAGGATACAAAAAGTTTGGCTTGTTACCTTTAACATGCTTGACCTTTGACCTTCAGCTTGATCTTTATTGTCTTGGCAGAAGAACTTGAGGTTTCCTGCTTGTCTTTGCCCAATAAACACTTTTCCTCCCTTTTGGTAGACAAATGGAAGCCTTGGTGCTCTCTTTTCTCCTCTTTGTATCTTCATGCTTTTGCTCTCTCTTTATTTTCCCAATTCCACTACTGCATGTTGCCTGGGTGTCTTTGGCTTGAATCTACTCTACAACCGCCTTTCAACTTTCTTTGGTGTGGAGTCTCCAGAACTGTATCTTTACCATTCTAAGGCAACAACAGAAGAAATATTGGTTAGGAATATGGTTAAATCTGTGTACAATATACTAGATAACATACAATTCTTAGAAAATAAAATTACATAAAAAAAAACATTCCCATGCAATGGGATAAACACTTGTGACATGAAAAGGTCAGGTGTTGCGGAACCCACTGCAACCAAAAAGTCAGACTTTTACAATCCCTCTGTGAAAACACCATTTTCAAATCAAAACTAAAAGAATAAAGGATATTGAATGTAAGCAAATCCTCTTGTCCGCCGTGTATAGAAGTCAAGTGGAATGTAGACATCTACAATAGGCCCATAACGACCAAACTCACGTCGTAAATCCTCTGGCCTAAAGTGTCATGAAATAAGCACATTTAATCTGCTGGCTACCATATGAATTTAGCTGGAGCCCAGTGTGCAACGTACACACAAGAGCTGGAGCCAGCCAAAACATATGACAATACTTATTTGAAGACAAATCCAATTACTGTTCCACTTCAAAAGGAAGTTTCCTCATTTAAAAAAGGTGCAACTGTACAAATGAAAACCCCGCCAGCCAACTTCACACATCCATAGCAGCTATAAATAAACAGAAATGGCATGCATTATCTATTAACAGAGGGAGTGAAGTCACAGGGGTTAGTAACCTGAAAATGTATTAGTGACATTTCAAAAATAGCACCACTGATGGAAAGAAAAAAAAAATGTAACAGAACTTCTCTCAGTAAATATGTTAACAACTTTGAGATCAGCACCAGACATTGGTGAAACTTTACAGTACAACCAGAATTATGTACATTGTTGGAATTAATTTCTTCAGGAGTAAAACTTTGAGTTATTCACATGCATTTTCATTCAGTGCCTTGACCACAAAGTTCAGTTTGCATCCACTGTATTGGGGTGGAAGTACGAGTTTCACATTCAGATATCTCAAAACCTTGGCACATAAATCCCCAAACTAGCTACATGGCTCGATAACTTCTGGGGTAATGGCGAGAGTATGTCTTGTGATAAACTGGCTAAAGGTTAAAAACAGCGTATAGTATCGGTTTCATTAATAACACAGCATGTCCTTTTTGAGAGGTCTATGCAACTCAAGGTAAAATGTAGAATCAAGGTTTCGATCGTGATGTCACATTCTGCGGGCTATTGTCAAGGCAACAGAACGTTTCTTAGAATATAGAATGAAACTGTAACAACTATGGGCTGTGGTTGCCTGGCAATTCCACACTACATTCCAAATCTAATAGTTAACTAACGTTACGTTCTTCCTGTAAAGATCGATGATTCAGTGCAATTCAAAAGATAACAGCATTGTGTAAATTGTATGTAGCATTTTGCCTCCTCAATAAAACGTTTCCAACATTTAACGTTACCATCCCTATTTCGTGCTAAGCTAACTGCTCTGTATAATAATGTGTTAATGTAACTAAGTAAACTGCCCTAACGGCTCCTAGTGCACCTCGTGTAGCTAAACGTATAATATTTATGTTAGCTTAAGCTGGTAGCCTGGAGGGGGGGTAACGTTAGCATTAGCATTAACTTAAGCTACAACAACACAGTCGTTCGGGCTCCTGTTTGCTAACCTACGCGTTAGCAAACCTCAAGCAGGGAAATTAGTTTAACGGCAGCTGTTAGGTTAAATTAATTACCAACACGGCTTTTTTTTTTCTGCCTCTCTGCTTCACTCGTCATCTATTGTGATAACATGTGTGCTAACTGATTAGCATTACGTTAGCTTAACCACGCTTCCAAACACGCCAGCGGGGTTAAAAATGACAACATACCTGGACTCGTCGGCGATGTTTCTAACGAAGAGAGATGTGTTAGGCGGCCTCAGGTACCTCGCCATTTTTTTAACGACGCCTTGCGACAATTTGGCGGCCACGAATTTGTGTTTTTTTATCGCTATTTTTTTTACAAACCCCGATGCTTTACCGCAGCTGACAGGAACTACGTGGTCAAAGTGTTCTCTCCGCACTGCGCATGCTCACAGCTGTACAGCCACGAAGGCACACATATACCGTCTATGGCACACACGCACCTTACCTAACCTTATCCACTTATTCTATTATTTCACTTCACATAATAATAATAATAATAATAATAATAATAATAATAATAATAATAACTAATACTACTAATAATACAACTACTAATAATAAGGATGTTGAGTAGGCTTTTACAAAGAGACCCATGCATGGGTATTTGCTCAAAAATAATGATGCAAACCACACTTATTAACCAACTTTTTTTTTATTTATTTAAATAGACATTGGTTTCTTTCACTGCCGAGGTTACATCTTTTTGCTCTTCCTGATGAGAGTTGTTGCGCCCATGCTCAAAGTCTGAAAAGGGATAAGGGAAAAAGAAGCGTAATTAATTTGTGGCCTGGAGATAAATGACACTATTTAAGATTATTACACACACATTTGAAGTGAGTACATTTAAATTGTATCTGGTCTTAGATAACTGGTGTGTGTAAGAAAGAGTGAGTTCTGGTAGGATGTACTGTACCTCAACCATCTCTCCTCCCTTGAGCTCTTGGATGTGGCAAAACTTGCCGGTTTTGCAGACCAGTTTGCCACCCTCCAGGTTGACGACGCACTGGGGGTCAGAGGAGGAGACAATACGTATCACAAAACAAAGCATGGACCCAAAAAGAAACTGAACAGAACACCAACATGCACATCTCCATCAACCCTGCAACAGATAATAGTGTAATAATAGTTCATTACACAGTATATTTCAGACTTTCTTGAAAAAAATAACACATATTTCTGCTTTAAGCGTATTCATACTTTATTAAATCAGGTAACACACCATCTAAAATCTTTCTATACTGTCTTACTGTAAATTACAGTTACAAACCTTGATCTTCTTGCCGTCCATGGTGGTGATTTCAGCCTCCTTGCCAACGGTAAAGGAGTTGGTCACAGTCTTTCCAGGGGTCTTGGAGGTGACAACAAAGTCATTGCCATTCTGTTTGATCTCAGTAATTGGCTTGATGTCCTTGGCCATCTTAATGACATCTGCTGGAAGTTCTGGTAAGCAAAGCACGTGTTTTTGTTAATTCCTGCAATTTACGAGTAAGGACTTTATGGACTGTAACGCTATGTGGTTATAATAAACATTACAACACATCAAAATAGCCACTTTATCTTCAGCTACCAAAGATAATATATTTATTTATATTCTGCCAACCCCTGCAGCTCTACCAGAGCCCCCGGTTTGTTTTTCTCACCCATTGCCCTGAGGAACTCCTCGTAGTTCTCCTGGGCGTAGACCTGCCATGTTCCGTTGAAGTCCATGTTTTCTAGAAGATCTGGATTCTCCTTTACCAAAGTGGGCTGGAGGCTGTGACAGCTGTGTGAAGCTCAACACAATGTAGAGGATGTGACTGTAGTCTTGCACCTTTTTATACAGTAAAGCAAAAAGGGGATCCCAATGCTATGTGTAATGAGTAACAAACCCCTCTGAAGTAATCACTGCTGTTTGAACAACCTGGAGTTCACTTACTCCTGTTTGGTCAAACCTCAGCTTCCACCAAAGATCCATTTAAATTTATTTTTGTTACATGCGTTCAAGAGCTTCATTGATAAGAAATATGTATAGATTTTTATATGTGCAACAATAAACAGGCAGTATATGAACAAAGAATAAATCATGTCCTTCAGTTACTGTAAAGTTCACAGGGCTCACTCGAAGTTGAGTTTGAGGATAATACTCTATTATAAATTATTTATTTAATACACTTGCATTCATTAAATATTAGCCATATTTATGTTTTTTATTAAAGAACTCATTTATTGAACATTAGATCTTAACTGAACTTACTGGACGTCTACGACCTTTCCACAGTGTGCCATTGAACCTCCTAACATGAATCTGCCTGTCGACTGGGGCCCAGCAGTAAGGTTAATGACACTACGGACTGTTGGTTTTTAAAGTGCAAGACATAATCTCTGCTTGCAAAATCATCCACAAAGAAATCTGCAGTCCACATTGTCTTGAATAGTTGATCATAAACCGTAATAAAAGTTTACTGACTATGAATATTAAGAGGAAATATAATATTTGTGAGCGCTCATAAAAACAATGCACTAGTGAAAATCACTTGAAATTGCTTTATTCACGACACACCAACACACAACTCATTCAGCTCTACAGCCTAATACGTGAGGGTTTTGGAGGTTTTGTTGTGACAGTTGCTTAGTGACCATTATTAAATACGGGTAAATGATAAAATATAATGTAACAGTAGCACAAATAGGGCAGAGTGAAAGTCAGCAAACTGGCTCCCTAATGTAAGTTATAATAAAGCAATAGCTAAGCTTACTAATAATAAACGCTTCTTTGCTTCCAGCTAATGCTAACATCCTAATGTTTGCTCATGATAGCTACCATAAGCAACTGGTCACTGTTAGTAGCTAATGACAGCTAACTTTATCTAATGACAGCTGTCATAAGTTGCATAACAAAAGTGTATTGAATTGAGCAATGGTGCATTTTACTGCTTATTAAGTCAGCTTTTCATTCATTCATAGTCTTACAGTAAAGAAACAATCTTTATGACTGACTAACGGGGAGTATGATAATTTTATTCCCTGCACTGTCTAGTATTTAAATTATACAGAGAGTTTGCAGACTATAGGGGATTACATTTTTGATTAACCTCAGTAGACATTTTTCTCATGATAAATAAAGTTTCCTCATGCTCAGTAAAGTTTTCTAATACATGAACAATCCACTATCTATCTCTCTATCTCTCTATCTTCTGACTCAGTTTGCAGTCTTAACCCATCTCCACCGCGTTTGCTGGAGGCTTCTCCCCACGCTTGTAAACGCTCACTGTCACATCAACTGTTTCAGAGCCGTACTGGTTGCGCACAAAGATGCTGTACTTTCCAGAATCTTCCATGTTGACATTGTTGATGGTGATGGTGCTGCACTTCGGTTCCTTAGTGATGGTGAACTGGTTCTGGCTCACAATCTCCCTGTCGTTCCTGAGCCAGAAGATCTCCGGGGCCGGTTCGCCGTCGATGAAGCATGTCAGACACAAAGACTGAAGAGAGGATGAGGAGTCAAAACATATCAAATAATTATAAATGAATGAATAAGAAACGATCAAATCTTGCACAGAACACCAATATGATTCTTGCAGACTTGCCTGACATAGGAAAATGACGATAATATCACAACATAGTATAATTGCGTATGAATGTGGGTCTAAGTAGCCTTAAATGCTTTCCTGACAATGTCATACCTTGCTCTCCATGATGGCTACCACATCGGGAAGACCCTTTGTCACTTTGGCCCGATCTGAAACAAAACAAGAGCAATAACTCCCAGATGACATTCACTGTAGGACCCTTTAATCTTTGCTGAGGACAGAAAAGACCTGTGACTCACGTTTCTCAGCAATGGCCACTTGCCTGAGGGATGAAAACAAAGGGTCAAATCAATATGACACTGCACAGTGTCAAACAACAATAATCTGTGCTGAGATCTTCTCAGGGAATAGTTGTTACCTTTGACTGTTCAGTGTTTTCTGTTAGTGTTACAGCAAGCCATGCTCTTAGCTACTGTAAAAGCCAGACATGTTTAATCTTTCATCACTTAAAAATAATGTCTTTTAATGGTGCACATTTGCTAATATGTTGCTAAATTCACAGCACTTACTTCAATCTCTGGTACTCCAGCAAGGCATCAGCAAAGGCTGTTGAAAACAACAATAAATGACATAAAAATGAAATCTTATCATATCCGCTCTGAAATATTCTCTCAATCTTAAATTTAGTTTCAGACCATTTCAATTCAAACATGTAATTTCGACCCACCTTGTCCAGACAGGTCAAGATGCCGTTTGTGTGTCTCTTTGCCGTCAAACATCTCCAAGGTGTATTTGCCTTTATCGTTCTCTGTTGGGTTAAAGATTTCAATCCAGACTTTCTGCATACTGTTGTCAGGCTTTGTCCTAGCCTCCTGGTCAATCCTCTTCTCCCTAAACGGAGGGGGGCATTAGACAGACACACACAAAGACCAGATACTTGCATGCATGTTAAGGACGTACCAGTGCTTTTTTGCCCTAGACGAAAGCACTGTCTCAGCTCTAGAGCTGCTCCTTTGGTCACTAGAGTTAGGCTGCCCACTGCTCTAAATACCAAGTCATGTGTACAAAATGTAGTTGGGAAAGAAAGTGCGGTTACAGTTCAGACAGGAATCATTTAAAACTATCCAGGACCAAGAACATTTGTTACCACACTGGTTAGATTTTCTTCAGTTCTTTTGTAAAGGCTATCCTTAAAGCCCCCAGCAGATGGAGCTAGTAGCCTTACAAAGAAGAAACTGGTTACACCCTTTGTCATGCAATAATTATGTTTCAGTATACATACAGTAGGTCCTTTGAATGATTGTTGTATGTTTATTCATGTCACAGAATCTTATAATTTGATGAAAAGTACGTGCATGTTTCAATATTAAAAAAAAAAAGCAGATTAGAAACAGTTCTTAAACAATTATTCCAGTGGAACAGCTTTCGCTTTCTTTCCTGTCTTTCTCTCTCTCTCTGTTATTTCCTGACTTTCAATGCGGCAAAATAGAAACTATTTTGGTTCCCACCTCAACATACAGCTTTTCCCATTTCCCCCTTAAATAACTTAACGGTTGGAAAAAAACATCTTATTCCACACTCTGACAGTATTTTCTATATTCTGTATCAGCTTGTTCCAAATCTATTTTGAGTTAAATATTCAAACTCAATTTTCCAATGTTTTTGGGGCTTTTCTTGCCTTTAATAGATAGTTACAACTGAAGAGTGACAGGAAAGGGGGGATTCAGAGAGGGGATGACTTGCAGCTAAGGACCACAGGTCAGACTCAAACCCATGGCCACTGCAGCAAGGACTCAGCCCCGGTACATGGGGTGCCGGCTCTACCAGCTGAGCTATCCGTGGGCCCCAATGTCCTATGTTTTTATTTAT